CGTGATGTTGCAAGACAATTTAACGTCCACATAAACACCAATTGGTGTTAAGGGCAACGTTGGCAACAGACGAATGCAGTCAGAGACCATCCTCGGAGTGGCCGGCCACGTGTAACCAATAATCGACAAGACAACTGGATTCGAACAACACACCTACGAAATCGATTTCAGCCAGCAACAATGACTGCAAGAAGCATCCCTGGCCTTCGACAAATATCTTCACAAACCGTGAAGGGATTTTCACCAGAAGACCCGCCAGACGTCCCATTTTGACAGGAAACCACCGTTAAGCACGTCTACTGTGGTGCAGACAAGGTCGATCTACGCTGGGCGGCCTGGTTCTATTCACTGACGAGTCTCGTTTTCACCTCAGCCACAGCGATGGACGGATCGAGTGTACCGACGTCGAGGTGAACGTTACGTCAATTTTTGTGTCACGGGAGAAGATCGGCTCGGGGGCGGCAGCGTTATGGTATGGGGTGGGATTACAGCAAGACAGAGGACCCGTTTGATAGTGGTAGAGGGAAATCTCAATGGACAGCGCGACGAGATCATCGACCCTGTTGTTCTACCGTTTTTCGTCGACGTGGCCCAGGCATTACCTTTCAACATGACAACGCCCGGCCTCATATTGCTCGACATGTTCAGGATTCTCTTCAACAAAACAACGTGAATGTTATCCCCTGGCCGGCTCGCTCCCCTGATCTCTCACCAATCGAGCACAAGTGTGATGAGATGGATCGGCGCCTTCGCCTTCGTGTTCCACAGACACTTCAGGAACTTCGAAACATGATCCAGCAGGTATGGACAGATATCCCACAGGACTTAATGCGACGCCTGGTCCATTCCATGAGACGAAGATGTATTGCTTGCATCGCAACCAGAGGTGGACACACACGCTATTGATTTGTAAATTGACATTTTGGCATGTTCATGGCATGTTGTTGTTTTTTTAAATCACGCATTTTCTGAAGTCAGTATGGCAAATTAAACCATTTGAACACTTACGGGAGTCTTTTAGCTGTTGCAAACCGAAATTGTTTCAGATTTGGTTAAAAACATAACTTTGCATTAAATCTTATTCAATGTCACATGACCTTTTGTTGTTCAGTATATATATCTAGTATCTACCTGTTGTCACTTCCTAGTGAGAACCCCTTGCATATACGAGTATGCAAATTATTCATTAGCAACGTCACGTGTGTCTTCAACGCACGTGCACCAACGCGTTGTTAAAAGTATTGGCCATTACACTCTGACTTCTGCCAGTTTCCAGCATACCAATAGCCCACTCTGCTTGTTGTAGACGCCGCATCGCTAGTTTATACACAAACAATGAATGGAAACAAGTAAATCCAACTATATGGTAAGCAAAATCAATAAGATTGACAGAAATAAAGATCCACGGAGAATTATCGACCTTCCTTGAAAGTGTCAAAATCTGGAATGACATCCTACGCCCCCTACGCCCGTGTGTGGCGCTACTACGTGAGGCACGTGCAACTATAGGATGTGTTTTTGTGTTGAGTTTTACAGACATAAACGTTTTTACACAGGATGTTTATCATCAACACTCACCTTTGTTCTTATATTTGGTATTAATACATATATATATTTCATGACCACCTACTTTGTTTGAAGAGTACACGAGGTATGCGTTATACAAATGAAGCATTGGTTAGGTAAGGTAAGAGCGGTGCTGTAGTCTATGGGTTAAAGTGCTTGATACTCATGTGGAAAACTCCGGTTGGATCCAATCGACATTTGTTCGTAAACTGCTGTGCAGATTTCGGTCGATTGCAGGATTTACAAAGCATATGTACCTCCAAATCGTCGTGAACAGATACTTTCCAAATCATCTTAATCAAGATTTGATGCACTTCGCAAAGTAAGACCCGTTTTATCACAGGACAGACTTTGATTATTGAAGAGATCGTCTTGACTGGGTGCCACCATTTTGTTTGAAGCAAATGCAGTTGATATAAGAGGTGGACTCTGATTGGTCAATAGGAGGGCCATAGAAGGGAAATAACCAGTGGTGGCGCTACGATCGAGCCCATAAATTCGGCAAGGGTGGAAACTGTACTTTTACAGTCAGTAAACTCCCTAAATTCGGGTAGATGCGCGCAGTAAAAATCCCTAATTAATGACATCATTCCCTGTACCTCAGAAGACACGTGGTTGACCATGAGTTGTAAAAGTACGTTTATAGAAACACAAAACAATGCCAAAGAAACATAAACGTGTCGTACCTGACCCAGAGAAACAGAAACATCAATGTATGTAACATCGATATAACAAACACTTTAAGTTTACAACAGTGGCAGCTAATCAAGCGTTTCCTCTCTCAGGCTTATCCTGACGTTTACTCTGTCGCTTTCTCCGGTACACACATACTACGAAAACAGGGTGTCTCTTTTCTTTTCTCGGGTCCTCGTGGTCGACTGCTGTTGGGCGCACTGCTTGCGTATGGGTTGACAGAACTCGTATTGTACTGCGCTGTTGGCAGTCTGTGGAACCCTATACTCTCACTAAGATAAGAGGGTATCGCGTTTTGTATCATTAAGACAGCAATCGATTCTGGGCTTTGGAATCAAAATCTGTATTATATTCTGCATGATATGTTGGTATCTATGTGTATTCGAGTTTATTGAAAATAAAAATCATTATATCTTTTACTCCGATAGTCATACGATACTTCTTCGCGCCAGGATCTGGGTCCAAGTTCAAAGTGAGTGAGTGAGTATGCTTTTACGCAGCTTTCAGCAATATACCACACTGTACCCTCGTGGGTAATCGTCATTCGTGACCACCTGGTGTTATTCCGGGACAAGCCGAATAGCGACTCGTGCCCCTCTCGTGGACATTTTTGCGACCGGGTACCTTCTTAGTTAGCGCAAACGGGCATAGCTAAAACACTTGTCAACTCGTTGCGTAATGGTTCACATATAGGATATATATATTTCGGATTAAAGCACATATGGACACGCGGAATTACGCAGTATGATTGAACACGTTTAACTATGTCTTTGTATATCTTTAGATGCAAGACATATGTAAAATCAAAAAATATTTCTGAGGGATTCTTTGACGAAGAACTTGAAATCATACGCGCACTCTGATTGGTTTGTCGTATTTTCGCACATAACATTCATCGATATGGGGACGAGTCTTCTTGCAGGTTACGGAAAGGGGCGAGAGGTGACGAATGGGGCAATCGTACCCGGGCCTCCAGTGGGACGAGTGAACGCGTTAACCACTAGGCTACCCCACTGCCCCACACCTCCATAGACGGTCGAACTTTTACCGCCCAAGCGAAATGAAGAAGGTTGGTTCTTGAGCAAACAAGATGTCAGCTTTCCAACGTGATTCGGCATCATGTCTTTACACCTCAATTCGGAAATTTCGATTTGTAAAAAACCCACAGACCACAAATATTCGTTAGATCGTATACGTACCCTTTTATGGTGTAGACGCAATGCCACTTAGAAACGACAGAGTGCATAACATATCCACAACAACATAATGATGCTGCTTTATTTTTTTGCAGTCCCCGACTAAATCCGTTTTCGAGATACAGAAATCAGAATTGCTTTTCTGAATGCTTCTCTTACTCGTATCGATAATTTAGAAGCCCGTGGATGCAGAGGGTATGTATCGGAGTAAAAGATCTGATTTCAATGTGATTGAGAAGACTCGGACGCCGGGCTTTCACATACACACTGACGTTGTTTTTTCTTCTGACATGTCTTGCATAAGACGATTGCCATAACGCAATGTAATATTTTTCTCGCTTTCATTAAGCTTTATTCTAAATATCCTAAACAATACATGACGCCGAATACCACAATAGGTCCAAGAAGAGAATTGTCTGATGCACGGGCACACATTAACGTGAATGGAACCCTTTTTCAAAGTAACAGTGACTTAAAAAACAACAATTATGTAGCCATGTTCATGTCGATAATCGATTTGGAAAGTGATTATAAATGTGTATGTGTGTGTTTGGATAACTGAGGAAAATCACTTTAACCAACTTATTTAAATACTGATTAATACGCCTTCTTGTTATTCAGCCATAATAGCAAAATATGCAAAAAGTCTAAAATACCTGGAACAATAATTCAGTACCCTTTTAACTTATTGTCACCGAAAACCCCGAAAGGAAACAAAACAATTGTCCTCCCCATTCCGAGGTATAGTCGGCGGTCCACCTGCGTCAGACGTGAAGCCCCCATCATTTGCGCATTAAGTGTAACAATTTTTGCTCTTACATACTGCATCTGACTGAAAATAAGGAAGAGAATATATGGATGCCAACTTCTTTATTATGAGGAACACCACGTTTCGGAGTATATGCTTACTCCTTCATCAGGTGAATGAATGCCATGAGGCAGAGAGCATAAATATGTACAGGTAAGGACAACAAAATAATAAGATCACAAAAGTTGGAAAATAACAAAGGGTAGAAACTAACAAGGGAAGCCAACAGATGATTGGCGCTGATAGGTGATAGCGCTGAAGGTTTGGAAGCCAGTACTTAAGTTATCATAGATAAGTAATAGGTAATGGACTCTGGACAAACGGGAGGCCGGGGTAATAGCACTGATAGTTTCTACCCTTTTGTGATCTTATTATTTTGTTGTCCTTACCTGTACATATATATGCTCTCATGGCATTCATTCACCTGATGAAGGAGTAAGCATATACTCCGAAACGTTGTGTTCCTCGTAATAAAGAAGTTGACACCCATATGATATATTCTCTTCCTTATGTGTATCACTTCTAAATGCCTTTCAAAGACCTGACTTCAAATAGTTGATTATTCTCATATTTAAGGATCGAACTCAGGATAACTGGGTTCATCTGTGAATGAATTGTCTTAAATGTGCCGATTACCTGACATTCGTCACCACTCGCCCCTTTCCGTAACTTTCGACTTGTCCCGGAATAACACGATTTGGTCACGAATGGATTACCTGAGTGGCAAAACAACTCACCCGTGCGTCCTCAGAAGCAGCTCCGATTGTGCCGATGCTGGCTGTGAGCGCTCAAATGTTAAATACTTCCCTTAGTATACCCGTGATTGGTATGCCTGCATGTCACTGATTGGTCTGGACGGGTTGCTAAGAGTTAGTAACATAACCCCAGTCATCAATAACCAAACCATCGATACAGTCCGACAACTGTTTTGATTTCCCAGCATTGATCGTGTGTTTTAGTAAGGACCAGTTATATTAGTGTTCCAGTTGGCCTTGGAGAACCTTGATATCATTATGTGGACTGTACTCTATGCATCAAAACATAATTCAGATAAACAGAATAGACATAAGAAAAAGCTGGGCAGAACTTGTTTTGTGGTCAGAGCGCGCACTTTGCACGAGTAGCCATTTATATTACCATGACGGAACAGGAACCATGCTTGACATTCTCTGTGGATTATTTATGCAACGACATATCATTAATGTAAACGCCTTTTTTAATACATTGTTTTCACAGTCGAAGACCTTTGTAACAGTTTATCTATCTGCAATGTCATAAGAGAAGACTCGTCCAACAGTGGTGACAATCGATAAGATTCTGTTGATTGTCAAACTATTTTAAGAGACCGATTGGGACATAAAGAACGATATATTTTTACCGACCTTTTGTAACTAATTATTCTTTGGAAAGTTATAGGAAATAGAAACTAATCAATTATCTGGTATTATCCCGCCATTAGAAAACTAATGCATTGCCATCAATCGACTCGGATAAATCCATTTAATAAAGAATTCACCCGTTTCTTAAGCCCTGTTTTTTCTACCATTACCAGAAGTTCTGCGGGGTACAGTGTTAGGCAACAAACAAACTGTTACATGTTTATGAAAACTGTATGAGTAGTGGGTGCTACCGGCAGAGCAGGACAATGTTTACTCTTTTTTCCGAACACCCGGTGTCATCACTGATTTTCAGTGATCCATTCATATTATTTACAGACCGCCTCCGTGGTACCGTGGTAGAGCGTCCGCCCGGAAAGCGGAAGGTCCGGGTTTCGATCCCCGGCCGCGTCATACCAAAAGATAGTACTTGTTGGTACCCTGTCTGGCACAGTACAATCAGCCACACACACATACACATACACGTGCATGCTCGTCGCTATATAAGTGCAATAAGCTTTGACGCGACGTTAAACCCACTTTCACCTCACCTCATTTTATTTACATCACTAGTTTGCCTTATACACCCAACGGAATCTGTTTCGACAGATATCATCTTCCCGAGGCAAGGGCGTTATAGCTAATTACAGAAGTCTACTTTCCACACTTGCTGAACAAGGCTGGATTTTCGGAGTTACATTTTGGCTGGACTAACGAGTCTATGCATAGTCCAATTAAAATTGCGTAACGAACTAGACATCCGGTTCTTAAACAACTGGATGATTTCAACTTGCAGATTTCTATCGACTGCAGGATTTACAAAGCATGTGTACAGTCAACAGGGCGTCGACGGATATTTTGCAAATCTTTTCATGTTTTAAATCAAGGCGCTCAAGTGATTTGATGCACTTCGCGGGATAAGACCCGTTTTATTACAATATATATAAAATATATGAAACATTACGTTTGTGAACCTGCTTTGTGGGAAGGTGTATGTTGTTAAAGCACAACTCCAGATATCGACTGAAAATAATTTTGTGGAAGAGATCACAAAAATATAACCGTCTCTAGTCACGATGCGCAAGTCAGCCACGAACCAGTCTATGGCGTATTAAGAACGACACTGGAACGGGGTATGTTCGTTACGATTTTGATAGGGAATGACATATCACTGTATCTATCGAATATAGGTATACACTGTGAGGTCACGGGATTAATGGCGCGCGTCAATGACTGAGGTTCGCTATAACAACAAAAAGCGTGGACTGATGGACAAACGCATTCTGTACCTCATCATCTGTTATAGCTGCCATGATGAAAAAAAACACATTTTTGTCCTACCTCCACAATGCTTCAGCGTTCCCTCGCTAGGTTAAAGCGTTGGCGTTGTGTCGCTATACAGTGGCTTTTCCTCGCTGTGACTTTGGCGTTGTCTATACAGTGCTTTTCCGTCGTTGTGAGGTTGTTGTTGTGTCATTATACAATGGTTTTACCTCGCTATGACGTTGGCATTGTCTATAAAATTGTTTTCCCTCCTTATGACGTTGGCGTTGTTTCGTTATACAGTGGTTTCCCCTCATTATCAGGTTAACGTTGTGTCATTATACAATAGTTTTACTGCGCATTGATGCCGGCGTTGTGTCGCTATATAATGTTTTCCCCTCGCTATAACGTTGGCGTTGTCTCATTATACAATGGCATTCATGCGCATCGATGCTGGCGTTGTGTCGCTATATAATGGTGTTCCCTTCTATGACGTTGGCGTTGTGTCGCTATACAGTGGCTTTCCCTATGACGTTGGAGTTGTCTATACTATGGTTTTCCTCGCTATGGCGTTGGCGTTCTGTCGCTATACAATGAATGTCCCTCGTTATCAGGTTGGAGTTGCGTCGCTATACAATGGTGTTCCCTTCTCTGACATTGACGTTGTGTCGCTATACAGTGGTGTTCCCTTCTGTGTCGTTGGAGTTGAGTCGCTATACAATGGTGTTCCCTTCTGTGTCGTTGGAGTTGCGTCGCTATACAGTGGTGTTCCCTTCTGTGTCGTTGGAGTTGTGTCGCTATACAGTGGTGTTCCCTTCTGTGACGTTGACGTTGTGTCGCTATACAGTGGTGTTCCCTTCTGTGACGTTGACGTTGTGTCGCTATACAGTGGTGTTCCCTTCTATGACCTTGGAGTTGTGTCGCTATACAGTGGTGTTCCCTTCTATGACCTTGGAGTTGTGTCGCTATACAGTGGTGTTCCCTTCTGTGACGTTGGAGTTGTGTCGCTATACAGTGGTGTTCCCTTCTATGACCTTGGAGTTGTGTCGCTATACAGTGGTGTTCCCTTCTATGACCTTGGAGTTGTGTCGCTATACAGTGGTGTTCCCTTCTATGACCTTGGAGTTGTGTCGCTATACAGTGGTGTTCCCTTCTGTGTCGTTGGAGTTGTGTCGCTATACAGTGGTGTTCCCTTCTGTGACGTTGGAGTTGTGTCGCTATACAGTGGTGTTCCCTTCTGTGACGTTGACGTTGTGTCGCTATACAGTGGTGTTCCCTTCTATGACCTTGGAGTTGTGTCGCTATACAGTGGTGTTCCCTTCTGTGACGTTGACGTTGTGTCGCTATACAGTGGTGTTCCCTTCTGTGACATTGACGTTGTGTCGCTATACAGTGGTGTTCCCTTCTGTGACGTTGACGTTGTGTCGCTATACAGTGGTGTTCCCTTCTGTGACATTGACGTTGTGTCGCTATACAGTGGTGTTCCCTTCTGTGACGTTGACGTTGTGTCGCTATACAGTGGTGTTCCCTTCTGTGACGTTGACGTTGTGTCGCTATACAGTGGTGTTCCCCTCTATGACGTTAGAGTTGTGTCGCTATACAGTGGTGTTCCCTTCTATGACGTTGACGTTGTGTCGCTATACAGTGGTGTTCCCTTCTGTGTCGTTGACGTTGTGTCGCTATACAGTGGTGTTCCCTTCTATGACGTTGACGTTGTGTCGCTATACAGTGGTGTTCCCTTCTATGACGTTGACGTTGTGTCGCTATACAGTGGTGTTCCCTTCTGTGTCGTTGGAGTTGTGTCGCTATACAGTGGTGTTCCCTTCTGTGACGTTAGAGTTGTGTCGCTATACAGTGGTGTTCCCTTCTGTGTCGTTGGAGTTGTGTCGCTATACAGTGGTGTTCCCTTCTATGACGTTGACGTTGTGTCGCTATACAGTGGTGTTCCCTTCTGTGTCGTTGGAGTTGTGTCGCTATACAGTGGTGTTCCCTTCTGTGACGTTAGAGTTGTGTCGCTATACAGTGGTGTTCCCTTCTGTGTCGTTGGAGTTGTGTCGCTATACAGTGGCGTTCCCTTCTGTGACGTTGACGTTGTGTCGCTATACAGTGGTGTTCCCTTCTATGACGTTGACGTTGTGTCGCTATACAGTGGTGTTCCCTTCTGTGTCGTTGGAGTTGTGTCGCTATACAGTGGTGTTCCCTTCTATGACGTTGACGTTGTGTCGCTATACAGTGGTGTTCCCTTCTGTGACGTTGACGTTGTGTCGCTATACAGTGGTGTTCCCTTCTATGACGTTGACGTTGTGTCGCTATACAGTGGTGTTCCCTTCTGTGTCGTTGGAGTTGTGTCGCTATACAGTGGTGTTCCCTTCTGTGACGTTGACGTTGTGTCGCTATACAGTGGTGTTCCCTTCTGTGACGTTGACGTTGTGTCGCTATACAGTGGTGTTCCATTCTATGACGTTGGAGTTGTGTCGCTATACAGTGGTGTTCCCCTCTATGACGTTGGAGTTGTGTCGCTATACAGTGGTGTTCCATTCTATGACGTTGACGTTGTGTCGCTATACAGTGGTGTTCCCTTCTGTGACGTTGACGTTGTGTCGCTATACAGTGGTGTTCCCTTCTATGACGTTGACGTTGTGTCGCTATACAGTGGTGTTCCCTTCTGTGACGTTGACGTTGTGTCGCTATACAGTGGTGTTCCATTCTATGACGTTGGAGTTGTGTCGCTATACAGTGGTGTTCCCCTCTATGACGTTGGAGTTGTGTCGCTATACAGTGGTGTTCCATTCTATGACGTTGACGTTGTGTCGCTATACAGTGGTGTTCCCTTCTGTGACGTTGACGTTGTGTCGCTATACAGTGGTGTTCCCTTCTATGACGTTGACGTTGTGTCGCTATACAGTGGTGTTCCCTTCTGTGACGTTGACGTTGTGTCGCTATACAGTGGTGTTCCATTCTATGACGTTGGAGTTGTGTCGCTATACAGTGGTGTTCCCCTCTATGACGTTGACGTTGTGTCGCTATACAGTGGTGTTCCATTCTATGACGTTGACGTTGTGTCGCTATACAGTGGTGTTCCATTCTATGACGTTGGAGTTGTGTCGCTATACAGTGGTGTTCCCTTCTGTGACGTTGACGTTGTGTCGCTATACAGTGGTGTTCCATTCTATGACGTTGGAGTTGTGTCGCTATACAGTGGTGTTCCCCTCTATGACGTTGGAGTTGTGTCGCTATACAGTGGTGTTCCATTCTATGACGTTGGAGTTGTGTCGCTATACAGTGGTGTTCCCCTCTATGACGTTGGAGTTGTGTCGCTATACAGTGGTGTTCCATTCTATGACGTTGACGTTGTGTCGCTATACAGTGGTGTTCCCCTCTATGACGTTGACGTTGTGTCGCTATACAGTGGTGTTCCCCTCTATGACGTTGGAGTTGTGTCGCTATACAGTGGTGTTCCATTCTATGACGTTGACGTTGTGTCGCTATACAGTGGCGTTCCCTTCTGTGACGTTGACGTTGTGTCGCTATACAGTGGTGTTCCCTTCTGTGACGTTGGAGTTGTGTCGCTATACAGTGGTGTTCCCCTCTATGACGTTGACGTTGTGTCGCTATACAGTGGTGTTCCCCTCTATGACGTTGACGTTGTGTCGCTATACAGTGGTGTTCCATTCTGTGACGTTGACGTTCTGTCGCTATACAGTGGTGTTCCATTCTATGACGTTGACGTTGTGTCGCTATACAGTGGTGTTCCCTTCTATGACGTTGACGTTCTGTCGCTGTACAGTGGTGTTCCCTTCTATGACGTTGACGTTGTGTCGCTATACAGTGGCGTTCCCTTCTGTGACGTTGACGTTGTGTCGCTATACAGTGGCGTTCCCTTCTGTGACGTTAGAGTTGTGTCGCTATACAGTGGTGTTCCCTTCTGTGACGTTAGAGTTGTGTCGCTATACAGTGGTGTTCCCTTCTGTGACGTTAGAGTTGTGTCGCTATACAGTGGTGTTCCCTTCTGTGACGTTAGAGTTGTGTCGCTATACAGTGGTGTTCCCTTCTATGACGTTAGAGTTGTGTCGCTATACAGTGGTGTTCCCTTCTGTGTCGTTGGAGTTGTGTCGCTATACAGTGGTGTTCCCTTCTATGACGTTGACGTTCTGTCGCTGTACAGTGGTGTTCCCTTCTGTGACGTTGATGTTGTGTCGCTATACAGTGGTGTTCCCTTCTGTGACGTTGACGTTGTGTCGCTATACAGTGGTGTTCCCTTCTATGACGTTGACGTTCTGTCGCTGTACAGTGGTGTTCCCTTCTGTGACGTTGACGTTGTGTCGCTATACAGTGGTGTTCCCTTCTATGACGTTGACGTTGTGTCGCTATACAGTGGTGTTCCCTTCTGTGACGTTGACGTTGTGTCGCTATACAGTGGTGTTCCCTTCTATGACGTTGACGTTCTGTCGCTGTACAGTGGTGTTCCCTTCTGTGACGTTGACGTTGTGTCGCTATACAGTGGTGTTCCCTTCTATGACCTTGGAGTTGTGTCGCTATACAGTGGTGTTCCATTCTATGACGTTGACGTTGTGTCGCTATACAGTGGTGTTCCCTTCTGTGTCGTTGGAGTTGTGTCGCTATACAGTGGTGTTCCCTTCTATGACGTTGACATTGTGTCGCTATACAGTGGTGTTCCCTTCTGTGTCGTTGGAGTTGTGTCGCTATACAGTGGTGTTCCCTTCTATGACGTTGACGTTGTGTCGCTATACAGTGGTGTTCCCTTCTGTGACGTTGACGTTGTGTCGCTATACAGTGGTGTTCCCTTCTATCTCGTTGGCGTTGTGTTCTTTTTTAACATTGGAGATAGGATCATCCGTACTGTTATCTATATAGTATTACCTTCACCAACTTCTATTATTTCATTATTTCCTCTTAACCCATCTTCCATCTCCACCTTGTCTAATTTCCACACTCTCATTATGCTTAACAGGATTAATGGTTTTTTTAATGAGTAGTCAGAAATATGCCCAAATGTATAATTTGTTGGCAGTGGTGAAAAATTGAACTGTTTGTTTCGTGGAAAATACCCAAAACGTCATATTTTAAAAAAAAGAACAGTTTAAGAAAACGAAAGGATGGTGACAGTTCACTCCACAACATCTAGCCTAGACCTCAATCGGAGACCGCTGCTATCAATAATTATGGAGACAAACCGTATCTCTCATGTAATTCCCCATACATGACAGACTGGACTAACAATTAGTCCATGAAAACATTTCTATGTAATAATTGTATTTTTTTTTTAAAAGAACCTTTCCCCTTCTACTAATTTGAATTAAGGAAACTAAACTTATATGTGTGTGTGCGCGTGTGCGTGCGCGCGTGCGTGCGTACGTGTGTGTTTGCGAGTGAATTTTAAGGCTTTACTAAAATATTCTCAAACTGATAAAAAAAAACATTGCCACGTTTGGAAGTGAGAATTAGCCTTATAACATTAAAGTCACATTGTAATAATTGCTAGATTGATTTAGATCGTGAAACTTGACTTTGAAAGTGTGATATAGCTGGGATTTAACGCTCAAAATATTAATTAAAAATGTCCACTATTGTCTAGGTATTTCTTTGATACTACATAATACTTTCATACTGTTATATAATCCATAGTCACTATAAGGATGCAATATTGCCGAAGCGACATTAAATATTAATTCACTATTAAAACCCATGCAAGAGACACAGAACTAAATAGTTGTTCTACTTAGGGGAGGTAACTCTATTTCACCGGAAGTATCTATGGCGTTCCTAGCAACTCGAGTGCCAAATGAGAGAGAAGAAAAGTACCGTGTTTTCAACGTTGATGTTCCCATTGTAGTAATTCAATGCGATATTGTGGAAATATTGATGTCTAGGTAAAAAAACAGCATGTATCAACTCACCAATGAAAATATATAGCAGATTCCCAGAGATCAACGATGTATCTGACAGATTTTGGCCTACCACATAAAACTATGAGACTATAGACCTATTATATTTATAAATAGAGCCCTCAGCCTCCACGGTCTGTAGTCCATATTCAGTCTTGGTGTACAAGATGTAATTAGTGCCTTATATGAAACTGAGAAATTGTGTAATCATGGTAATCAGCAACTGCTAGATCAGATTGCTGATATTGACTTCAGGCACGGGTTTCAGTTTTTTTGCGAATTTGTTTATTATTAGTAGTAGTTACAGTGTCCTGTGCTTCGGGCTGTAGATTGAGATTAGAGTTTGATTCAAGTAATATTCACATTGATCTGTGTAAGACTACTTAATTATGTAGTAAAAGACTGGTGGTGGACTCATTATATTAGGAATGGATGAGTGATTTGCCTATGTCACTCATAAGTTGTAACTATTGTAATATTATTGCATACACATATATGGGTGTGTGTGTAGAGGTGTGCACCAGGGCTGGGACAAGTCCAAATTTACAACCCGGGTACCCGCCACCCTATTACCCGGCCCTACCCGGCCCTACCCGGATACCCACTATAGGTCTCAAGAGTTGGGTACAAAATGCCTGAATGGGAATTGTTTTACCGCAGCCCTGGCAAAAAACTATTTAGATACATGTATAAAACAATCTGATCATGTATAATCTGCAGTTGATAGACGCTTTATCCTTACTTGAACATATAAAAGTCAGAACGAATGCTTGCATAGTGAGAAAGAAATGTGGACATTAGCTATACTTGTAGTGTAACCATTGAGTTTTATTGTTAATGTCATTAAACAGTATGTCACCTGACTAACCACGGGGCCGGGTAGTCATGTGGATACCCGGGCCCTACTCAGGACCCACCCGACCCGAGTACCCGAGTTACCCGTCCCAGCCCTAGTGTGCACCCTCCTGCCCATTTTTGCAGCATAATTAACAGGGTTTTTTAAAGTTTTATATTTGAGCAGTATCTAACACAATAACTAACTTATTTGGTGATAATCTGCTATTTTTATCGGACAGGGCATGTACAAGGCTATATATCTTATGATAAGCTTCAATATTAATTGCAGAAATGAAATTTGTTTGACTGTTTGCTAGTACCAAGTAATCAAACAATGATCTTGTTTGACACAGTGAATTACAGTCAGAGGAATATCGTGGTATAATTTTATTTTTCTCAAAGCCAGACTTTCTTAGCTTATTGATTTGCTTTTGTAAAAATTATTATAAATTGAAACAAAAATTCAATTCTCCAACATGTTTAGAGAATTATATCTGAATTTGCCATGTCTATTAAAGCCACTCTTGTTCACATTGCAGTTTGATCTATATGCTGTAGTTATATATGTGTAGATATATGTATCCAATTTATTTTTAGGGGGGCAAGGGTGGTAAAACATGCATTCAGAAAAAGATAAAAGTGCTTTTCTTTTTTGTCTTGTCATTGTTTTGGTCAGTGATTCCGTACGTTGTTAAGGTACTGTAGTAGTCTGCATTCAGTTGGCATGGTTTTGGAGTTCACTGTTAGAGGCCACCGTATTCTATCATGAACTCAACTATCTTATCACCTTCTGTATAATTACAGCTTCAGTAAAGGCACTTCTCTATGAATGGAAAAAATAAATCAAGTGGACAAAAATGAAAATTTGGAAACATTTTATTTTACTGCAGCTACAAATAAAGATATAAGAAGAGCAGCTTGGTAAAGATTTGAGAGGATGGACCCCAAAATAGTGGCCATAATGGCCAAGCTGGCGAACAAGGAGAAGGTGAGACAGGTGACGCCAGTTGACCTGGAGGAAGCCGACAAACCCCCTACCAACCTGGAGGAGTACCTGCAGGTGGAGGGATGGGTATGTTCATGGCAGATTCTTGGGGACTATTAATACTGTTTTCAATTTTATGTTGTCCAAATTCACAAACCTAGGCAAAAACAGTGTGAAATAAATTTGTCCATGATAATTGTTACAACTTCAGTTTCAATTTGTTAATATCACATAAAGAGCAGATTAATTGGTCAGTATTAATATGGAACAAGTTCACAATATAATATTAATCTGTTGAGAACAAAGCTGACAGGAATCCTCATACATGTTGATTGCAGAGACATTTAATTTGTAACATATACCTGAACTTTCATAGTATGTACATTTTCTGTAGGGTAAAACTTGTATCATACTCATACTGTGTTTTCTTATTGAAGCATGATTGGCCGCATCCCGTGAGTGGGCTGACGCCCTTGAACTTCAACAAAGAAGGAACCTTGCTGGGGTCCCAGGAGGATATCGCTGACATACTCAGGGAGGCAGCTCGTATCCTTGGTTGCAACCAGAGAAATTGTTCCACTGTGTTGCTGAGAATTATGACTGAGAAAATATCTCCCATTTGTTACAATGACACACTTCAAATTTGAAAAGAGTATTTAAAGATGTGCATGACAGATCTGAATGATATCAAGTGTACCATGGATGATTTAGCTTCGCTGGGCTGTCAGGTGGCACAGGTGGCCCTGTCGTCAATGCCACAATACGCCATGCAGAGTTGAATCTGCTGCCATAACCCTCAGATCATGGTTCGAATCCCTGGTTTGCTCTGATTATGTTTCTAGGTTTGTCAGCACCATTCACATGCTCATGGGGTTCACAAAAGTAGTAAATGTCTAAGACCAGCATCACTTCATCCTCCTACATCAAATTGATATGCCACGTCATAACAGACATAAGTCAGGGCTCATACTCACTCAAGAATGTCTACTTAAGGTGCATATGAGATTATGTCTGTAATTGTCATACTCAAGATGATTACCATGACAACCTACAGCTTTATTCATGCCATCATTATTCACAGTTCTCTAGCTGCTAGAGTGCATACCATTTTAATTCCATGTCAAGATATATGTAGCTATGTTCTGTTGAGCTTAGATATTTTCGGTTTGTAAAATTGTAGCAAGTATTAAGACCTTGCGGTCGGTTCCAAATACAATTTAACGCGGTTAAATCTACATCTAGCTCTACATTGAAAACACAGTATGTGTATCTCCTAATTCTACCTTGAATTTGGAAAATACTCAATTTTAATTGGTCAGTCAGAGGTATCAAATCACAATCAACCCCCTCTGATTGAAATAGCCGATTTGACGGTGGAAACTAACATTCATAGAAAAGTACTTTTTTCAGTCATTGTCGGCAAGCACATTTATGTAATTATACAATTATCATGATTATAGGTTACAAAATGCAAAGTTGCGGTATCTACAATATTCAAAGGATGTGCGGCAATACCTTTTGTGCAGAAAACACGATAGAAATCTAGGAAGATAATGTTTTTTTAGTTTGGGGAACAACAGAGAGCTTGGAATTTGGTGCTTTTTTTACATACGACTGTGACATCATATCTTTTGCGTCCCAATGAGTGATATGACGTTATAATGGTGACGTGCGGTGTAGATCGAAAGCGTTGCATTCGGCTCCAAATTCAAATCAGCGTGGTAATATCTAGAGGTAAGCTAGCTCTACATTGAAAACTCATTATGTTTATCTCCTAAAGAACCATATTTTGGTCTAATCATGGGGCATTCTCTATGTGTTTACTCAAAGCTTTATCGCAATTGATTGTCAGTGTAATGAAGATCACAGTTCAGGAAGAACCGATACATTAACTTACAGGAGTGTACAATCAATAACGAGATGGAAGTCTGTGTTCCTTGTTCTTGTGTTACCCACTGGTATAATGACACTTCGTGACACCTGTACTTCTTGACATCACTTATCACTTATCACTTATTGACGGGTCTATTTTCATACAACTCACACAGCTTCATCTTTCTATGGCAGTATATCACATATTTCAACATTTGAACTTTAATTAAAAACATGTATTAAATAGAAATATTATCAGTAAAGTCAGTAGAATCTTGTTCAGTAGACACTGCTAACTAGATAAAATAGATAACAAGATAGGTTTGTTTAGCAGTGTCTAATCATTTGATTCCTGATAGCTACAAATATAAGGTAGAAATTCCAGATCTCTATCTTGTTCCTCAGTGACCTTACAGACACAAATTGATGGTATAGCAACATGTCTAGACACAACATGGTGTACTTGGTGTCGTAAGACTCCTCACTTGCTGCAATCTCATTAAAATCAGACCTTAGTTCTCGCTACCGCTAAACAAAGATCTGAGGATATCCCATTACGGGTCAAGTCAGAACGACCTTTCGCGAATTTTGACCGACCAATGAAATGACTGACAAGAAATCGATACTACCAGAATCATATGATCAGAAGGCAGCTTTCTCGAGCCTTACGACACTTTTTTCAAACTGGCGACCACGCTTTGAAACATATTTTGATGTATTCTCGATTAAAAAAATTAAAACTGATAAGAAGAACATTCTGGAATGGCATATAGATGGCCTAGATTGTATGGATATAATCATAAAACCTGTAACTGTCGTTCCGAATAGCCCATGTTAAATATTTCGTGGTTGCATGATTAGAAAACATTCCGACTGTCACTTTCATGATCTGGTAAGCAACGCTCTGATTGGTTGGATGAAAGGTCGTTCTGACGTGACCCGTAATGGGATGTCCTCAGATCTTTGTTTAGCGATAGAGAGAACTAAGATCTGATTTTAATGAGATTGCTCTGGCTGCAATTGACCAACACACACAAACAATGAATTCATGTTCAACTGAAATATAATGTTCCAAAGTATATTACTGTTAAAACATTTCAGATTGTGTCAAATATCTTATGGACATTTGATCCATTTCTGTCTATGCGAGTGAGTTAGTGTTGTTTTACGCCACACTCAGCAATATTCCAGCTATATGACGGCTGTAAATAATTGTGTCTGGACCAGACAACCCAGTGATTGACATCATGGGCATCGATCCACGCAAGTGAATACGATGACATGCATCAACCAAGTCAGCGAACCTGACCACCCGATCCTGTTCGCCATCTCTTATGACAAGCATAGTTGCCTTTTACGGCAAGCATAGGTTGCTGAAGACCTATTCTACCCTGGATCTTCATGGGTCTTCTGTCTATGCAATCATATGATGTTATTTGTTATGAAAAAAGGTTTGGAATCCCCTGATTTGGAGAAGTAGAATTCTGGATAAATGCCACTTAATAAAAGTCTTCTGTGTGGGTGTCAGTGAAAGTGAAATTATTTCATGATGCACTTTCACTGATTCAGAATCTGATGTAACAAAGCCAAGTCAGAGCGCATTTTACCAAATTTTTAAACCATTACATCTTGCTGTGAAGAGTTGAACCCATTATTTGTGTCAGGATCTGCTTACCCTTGATTTGAATCCCAGATTATTTTGTTCAGTTGTTCAAAGCCATCTTCCCGAGGCAAGGGAATTAACTGACTCTAAAAGTCCAGTTTCCACCCTTGCTGAACTAGGCTGGAATTCCCCGGCTCTAGCGTAGCACTATCAGTGGCTATTATGAGTTATGTCCCTTTTATGCCTCTCCTATGGACCAATCAGATTCCACCTCTCGTATCCCTTGCATTTGCTTCTAACAAAATGGCAGTGCCCAGTCAAAACGATCTGATCGATAATCAAGGTCTATATTGTGAGAAAACGGGTCTTACATCGCAAAGTGCATCAAATCACGTGAGCACCTTGATTAAAAACATGAAAAGATTTGGAAAATATCTGCTGTCAACAAGTTGGCGGTACACATGTTTTGCAAATCCTGCAATCGACCTAAAATCTGCATGATAGTTTACGAACCGGATTTCGATTTCGTTGGTCGATTTTGATTGGACTATGCATAGACTCGTTAGTCCAGCCAAAATCTAACTCCATAATACCAGCCTAGTTCGGCAAGGGTGGAAACTGGACTTTTAAAGTCAGTTAACTCTCTTGCCTCGGGAAGATGTTCAAAGCAGGCTTGAGCACACCTCACTCACGCTGTAAAACTAAGTCAGCAATAATACAGTTGAACCTTGTAGCTATGTGTTGTGTGCACACTGCGTTGCCTTGACCTGCCGCCAGCCCTGGGTCTGCACATGCTGGAGAAACTGGAGGACAGGCTCATGTCTCTGGAGGAGAAGCTAGTGTATTTTGCAGAGCGTATCGTCACTGATAACAAGCGGGAGTCTCGGCTCACAGACAGGCTGTTCCACTCTCCTTCCAGAAGTAAGACATCCTTTATACCTTTGTGTGAATTGTTTTGTTTTGTTTGCTGTTTAATGCCACACTCAGCAATATTCCAGCTATATGATGGCGGTCTGTAAATAATCAAGTCTTGACCTGACAATCAAGTGATTGATGTCATGAGCATCGATCCATGCAATTGGGATACATCGACATGCATCTACCAAGTCAGTGAGTATGACCACCCGATCCCGTTAGTCGCCTTTTACGGTCAAGCATGGGTTGCTGAAGACCTATTCTGTGAATTGTCATGGACATAGTATTTTAGTATAATGAAATTATTAGGGATATGATGCATGATACATAAGTTTATTGCAATACATATGGTCAAATATGATACATATCCTGATAATCTTAATGAACCATTCTTGTTTATTAATGTTTTTGTATAATATACCCCTACACTTCTTTGTAGAAGAACACTTTCGAATACAAAGTATAAAATGTGATATAATTGTATCGCAAACAAAACCTAATATGGATTACAGTCTTAAGGCGCCGCAATACGCTGTGCAGTGTCCCTTGGGCATGCCAGAAACCTATGATGGTGGGTTTGAATCCTGCTTTGCCCTGATTATGTTTCTAGGTTTGTGGTAAACGTCTGAGACCTGCATCACTTTAGGCTTTCCTCCCACATTAAGCTGACATGCCGTGATATAACTGAAATACTGTTTAAAGTGGCGTTACACGAAACTCACTGTATACAAACAAACTAGACACTAGATAATCTTTAGGGTTATTTTCTGTATATTTCAAACAAGAATGAATGTATGGAAATAACTCATCCTGCATGTTAGATGCAGTGACTGCAGGTTAAGACCCATGAAAAGACTTGTCTTGTGAGGAAAGGTCTCATATATCGTTCTGTATTTCAGCATTTATGACAGAGGTGTCTGAATCTGATGCAGTCAAATCACACAGCAGTGCTCGAGGACATAAAAGTATTGTGAGTAACATTCAAAGTCAGCTTCAAGTCACATTATCTCTTCATTGTACAGTAATTTAAGACTTACTTTACTTACTTATATTGGAGATTTTACGTGCGCTTTCCGACTGCAGCGTATTTCGCACACGGGCCCGGCCAGGCCATTTAATGTGTTTCCGAAAAGGGGAAAAAGTTGTTTGGCAATCCAGTAGGGGTGTTTTAGTGGTTGCTTATATAGAATTTTGGAAATTTTGAGATTTGGAAAAAATGCCAAGAGGGTTTTGGGGGCGAACTAAGGGAGCTGAGTATGGTAGTTTGTTAGTTTGATTATGTGGTTTGGTTTTGGTAGTTTATTGGGGTTTTAAATGCGATTTATTACCCCTGTTTTGATTAAGTATACGCCTAAGGCTTTGAATATTTCTATTTTATTTTGTGGGTTTAGGATTGCTTCTAGAGTAAGAGCCTTATTTAGATTTAGGGTGGTTTGTAGTGTAGTTCGCTGTGTTAGGTAGTGGGTGCAGTGTATGAGTGCGTGTTCTGGGGTTTCTTGTTGGTTGCAATGTGGGCAGGTTCCTGTTGCGTGTTTTTTTTATTATTTTGAGGTGGTTAATTAGGTTGGTACGTCCTGTTTGGAGTTTAGTGATTACTCTGTCGATTTTTTTGGATGGATGTAGAATTTTTGGTTTGGTTAGGGTTTTTTTTAGAACCTTTTGATTTGGCTATTTGAGTTTAGATATAAGTTATTCCATTTTTTGGTGATTTTTTGTTTGTTGACACTTTTAATTTCTGATTTGGAGATGGGTAGGTTTAAGCTTATTTCTGGGATTTTAAGGGATAGTTTAGCTGCTTTATCGGCGTTTTCATTGCCGTATATTCCTACGTGGGCGGGGATCCAAATGAATACTATTTGTTTGCCTGCCTTAGTTAAATCGTTTGAGCTTTTTAGTATTTGATTTATTAGTTCAGGGCCAATTTGGCCAATTTTCATGTATGTATGCTAGTGTGGTGGTTTTAGCTATGTTTGGGTCGGTTTGTTTATTTATTGTGCTAGCTAGTGTTATGTCTATTATGGGTGTTTTAAGTTTTGTGGTGAAGATATTTGATTTTTTACAGTTTTGTTTTAGATTGTTTATTCGGTGTTCATTTAAGTAATTGGTTATTCTTTGGGATATTGGAGTAAGTAGAGGGTGTTTTCGAGCTAGGGCTTGGTTTTTTGGGCTGATATTTTTGTTTATTAGGTTTTTGATTAGGGGTTGGATTGAGACGCGGCCCAGAAATTTAGGGTTAATTGTTCCCTACGTAGATTTAGTGGCATTTCTCCTGTTAAGGCCTGGAGTGAAGTGTAGGAGGTGCCATGTTGAGTGAGTGTTATTAGTTTTAGAGCCTGATATTGGATTGAGTCTAGTTTTTTGCTGAGGGGTTGGTTTAGGGTGTCGTATATGGCACATCCGTAGTCTATTTTAGATTTATTTAGTGATATATACAGTGAGAGGAGGGTGTCTTTGGAGGCCCCCCAGTTTGAGCCAGTTAGGCTAGTTAGTAATTTAAGATAGAATTCATGGGATAAATTGCATGACACAGTTTAGTCATGACACTGTTAGGGCAGTGGGGTAGTCTAGTTTTGACACTGTTGGGGCAGTGGGGTAGTCTAGTTTTGACACAGTTGGGGCAGTGGGGTAGACTAGTTTTGACACTGTTGGGGCAGTGGGGTAGCCTAGTCTTGACACAGCTGGGGCAGTGGAGTAGCCTTGTGGTTAAAGTGTCTGCTCATCATGCCAAGGGACGGGGTTTGATGCCCCATATCGGTACAATGTGTACAGCTTATTTCTTCTGTCCCCTGCTGTGATATTGCTTGAAACAATAATCAATCATGACACAGTTAAACATTTCCTTACATCCTATCTTCAGGATTTTGTGGACTCTCTGATGGAGACTCGGAAGAAGAGTCTGGACTACTGCTGCTTTCCAGGATTCCGTCATGGAGAGCTTGTGGAACTTCCGGGACAGCTAGAGGCCCCACCAATACTCAACCGAGTCACAAACGCTCAGGACTTCAATGTGAGTAGCAACAGATATACCAAGTCTAATGCTAAGACAAGTCGCTGCCTGAAAAATATCTTGTTCTATACATGTATGTTAGTCAATGTAACCTAATATTTCTCAGGCAGCGAAGTGTCTCTTAATGGCCTCTAATCCTGTTTCCCTCTGTTCTATCAAAATTAGAATACATGCACACAGTTATGTTGCAAACTATTGTAGCCCAATATATATCTTATAGTGTATTGATTTTAGCTTCTTGGCAGAAATTCTGTATGCTTGGGAAGTTACACGAAGTCACTATTGTTTCATGTTGTAGTCTGGATTTAAGAAGTTCTGGAAAAAGTTGTTCCTGTCTGAGGCATCTGTAGCAGTGATGCAGGACACGTTCTGGTGGGTGTTCCTGGATCGCTTCAACACAGAGGTGAGGAACACCGAGATACATGCACTGCTCCTCTTAACACCATGTTCCCCTCTTTAACACCATGTTCCTCTCTTCTCCACATTACTTCCATTTAATGTGATGTTTATGTATTACAGCTCCATCACTATAATGGACATAAAAACTTCACACATATATCACTTAAAACATAAATAGTTTTCAAAAGATTCTTCCTCCACTCAGTGTCGGTGGCAGAGCAGGTATGTCATGTTTTTTACAATCAGAAGGTTTGGATTTTCTGTTCAAGGTAGGATGGGCTGGGCGTTATGAAATGCCTACATTTTTAGCCCACCGGACTGAAAGTCATGAGAGCTATCATCTTATGTCATGGTCTGTTTGTCTGTCATGTGACACAAACATCTTGTTCAGTGGAATGAAATTTGGTACATGTGTAGTTAGCAGTGGGGATCAACGTATACGTTCCTTTTTTTGTGATACTTGATTACAGACTGTAATCCTTGATTGACACTGGTGCTTCAGCTGCACTGTTAGTTGAAGCTTCTTCTGGACATAATCAGCCATTTACTTTCAAAATGTAATGTCCTTGGGTTGACCTTTGCACTTATAAAGCCATAACACATCCATTTTTGTTCAAGATTTACTGTTTTTTTGTCATATGTCAAGTTAGTCATGGGGCTCAACACATATGTTCTGTTTTTCATGATATTTTAGATTTTGAACTTGATTTGGACCTTTGCACTTCAGACTTACTGCAAGCTGACACTTCCTATGGCTGTTACAGAGCCATGTTTGTCACAAATGTAAATGAAATGAAATGTGTAGTTTGTAGTTGTCAACACATGTTTTCAACAATATTTAGATTTGGCCTGTTTTTTACCTATACACTTTCACCATGCTCCTAACTTCTCTCAAACTGCATTTCCTCACACTGTTAACATCATCTCAGTAACCGCTGGACCTCTGAAGCTGAAATTTCACATTTTTCCTCTTCATATGTTTTGAATGTATGTTTTTTTGCATCAATTCAGAAAGGTTTCAAGAAGGACAAGAACCGGCTGTTTGACAGAATTGCTGACAGTTTTGTGGCATTGTTCGCCAGTATCCACAAAGATGTCAAAGACAAGTTCATGTCCGTGAGTGTCATACAGACATCTTCTATTTCACATGTAGCTAAAAATTTGGTGTCAGAGTTTCTTGTTTTGTTTGACATAATGGCATTTTGTTGATTGTCAAGCTTTGGAAAGGGTAGACTGGAGGTCATTTACAAACACATAATTTACATTTATTAAAACAAATATACAGAATTTAATTTTGACTGTATGGTACACATTTACCTCAATAATACATCTTGAAAAGAGTTATACACTCTTTTTGTGAACATCATCCATATTCTCAATACCGGTAGTATTTTCAAGTATTGCAGACATGAATTGTTCTCTGCTGCAGGAGTACCCTGACTGTCTGGCTCAGTCAATCTACGCCACGTACATGGAGGCATTTCCTGAATCTGAAACCAAGTTTGACGACCAGTTCAAGCAGGAGCTTGTCTATCTCATACATGAGTGGGTGACTGGTAAGTAGCATCTAAGCATCAAAAGTAAAGGTGGTTTCATGTAGTCTACATCTGTGGAAAACGATGGCAGCAGGCAAAATATTAATTCATGGTTAATTCTCTTACTCCATCAAATATCTTTGACAGATTGATGTAAAGATGCATAACAGTTATGGATGGACACTAAATATGTTGACATGTGAGTCAGTATGGAGTGAGTGAGTGAGTTTGGTTTTACGCCGCATTTAGCAATATTCCAGCAATATCACAGCAGTCGACACCAGAAATGGGCTTCACACATTGTACCCATGTCAGGATTCGAACCAGGGTCTTTGGCATGACGAACGAACGCTTTAACCACTAGGCTACCCGACCGCCCCGAGTCAGTATGGAAGTGGAAGAAGTTATATTACTCAAAATGGTTGATAAAAAATGGTTCTTCAAGATGACTGATCATTTGAAGTCTTGCTACTGCATTGCTGAGAACAATATGATGTAAGGTCATCCATGATTCTTGTTGTCACAAAGTGATTTAATGCCATTTGGCATATGGCCATGCTATAACATGGCAGCCAGGAAGAGATATAACCATGATATAACATAGGAGCCAGGTAGAAATATGACCATGATATAACATGGCAGCTAGGTAGAGATATAACCATGATATAACATAGGAGCCAGGTAGAAATATGACCATGATATAACATGGCAGCCAGGTAGAGATATGACCATGATATAACATTGGAGCCAGGTAGAGATATGACCATGATATAACATGGCAGCCAGGTAGAGATATGACCATGTTATAACATGGCAGCCAGGTAGAGATATGACCATGATATAACATGGCAGCCAGGTAGAGATATGACCATGATATAACATGGCAGCCAGGTAGAGATATGACCATGTTATAACATGGCAGCCAGGTAGAGATGTGACCATGATATAACATGGCAGCCAGGTAGAGATATGACCATGATATAACATGGCAGCTAGGTAGAGATGATATGACCATGATAAAACATGGCAGCCAGGTAGAGATATGACCATGATATAACATGGCAGCTAGGTAGAGATATAACCATGATATAACATGGCAGCCAGGTAGAGATGATATTTCCATGATATAACATGGCAGCCAGGTAGAGATGATATTTCCATGATATAACATGGCAGCCAGGTAGAGATGATATGGCCATGATATAACATGGCAGCCAGGTAGAGATGATATGGCCATGATATAACATGGCAGCCAGGTAGAGATGATATGGCCATGATATAACATGGCAGCCAGGTAGAGATGATGTGATGGTGATATAACATGGCAGCCAGGTAGAGATATTTCCATGATATAACATGGAAGCCAGGTAGAGATGATATTTCCATGATATAACATGGCAGCCAGGTAGAGATGATGTTTCCATGTTATAACATGGCAGCCAGGTAGAGATGATATTTCCATGATATAACATGGCAGCCAGGTAGAGATGATATGGCCATGATATAACATGGCAGCCAGGTAGAGATGATATTTCCATGATATAACATGGCAGCCAGGTAGAGATATTTCCATGATATAACATGGCAGCCAGGAAGAGATATTTCCATGATATAACATGGCAGCCAGGTAGAGATGATATTTCCATGATATAACATGGCAGCCAGGAAGAGATGATATTTCCATGATATAACATGGCAGCCAGATAGATGAGGATGTGATGGTGATGTAGCATGGCAGCCAGGTAGAGATGATGTCATGGTGATGTAGCATGGCAGCCAGGTAGAGATGATGTCATGGTGATGTAGCATGGCAGCCAGGTAGAGATGATATGGCCATTATATAACATGGCAGCCAAGTAGAGATATTTCCATGATATAACATGGCAGCCAGGTAGAGATGATGTCATGGTGATGTAGCATGGCAGCAGTACATCTTGGATGCTGTTCCAGGTCTGAAGCCTGTCCCTGGCACATGGAAGCGGTGGGATGACAAGCGGCTACAACCTAAAGTAGCTGGAGATGAGGCATCAGCCGCAGCTAAACAGATGATGCAGGCTGCAGCACTCAACAAGGAAGGTCAGTTGTAATACATGGAGACAAGTCATTATTCAGTGGTATTAACTCACTTGTAGCAATACTATTGCTGGAATAAAATTGTGAATATTATTGACTCTGTCCTTTGGTAAAATATTGAATACTTTCACAAACATGAAGCACATTTTTGCAATGGCACCACCAGTGACTCTGAATCAAGATGTTTCCTTCAAGTGTCCAAGAATTTTAATATTAACAAAATGGCCAATGTTGCAAGTGATAAATTGTCTGTTGATTAATTGATCTGAATCCAAGAAATTGTTTTCAACTGTGCTTGAATTTTTGTCATCTTCACAGTTGCTCTCTCCCTGGACATGGAGTCCTTCAATAAGGTCATGGACAAGATGGGGCAGGAGCAAGGTGTGTCATCGGGCACCCCGCTGGGCATGTTAAGGGAGGTAACCAAGGTGACCAATGCCACCACACAGACAACACTACCTTCAAGCTCCCAGTCTAGACTTCCATACAGATCTCCTCCAAAAGAAGTGAGTAGAATGTTTAGAAACTGGCCTTTCTATTTTCTAAACATGTTAAATACAGCATATAAATATCATGTGAAATTGTGTGGGGATCAATTAAGAATCCTATGCTTGTTCAAACTGACTAAAATATGATTGATTGAGAATTTTGTATTTATGCCTCACTGGGCAATGTTCTAGAAAATGTCACCGGCAGTTTGGAAATAACGGAGTCTGGGCCGTTGTGAACATGAGCAACGATACACATTATTATTGACAGACAATCAGCTGTGTCAGACATTGTGACCACAAAATCCTGATTCTAGTCAACAACAAGCATACAACAAGCAAAGACTACAGGGAACTCTTCTGTCCTGGAATAGCTAAGGGGGCAGGCTAACATGAGGATCAGGTGGCTACAATGTGTGACATGGTGGATCGTGTGTCTTTATTTCCTGTTGGTGTGGATCATTGTCTGGTCCAGACTTGGCAATCTACAAGCCACCATCATAGAGCTTTAATAAAGCCAACTGCAGTGTAAAATCACATTCGTTCAATATGGTTTCACCCAAATTGTATCTGTAGATTTAAGCATCTAATGCCGCTTCTTCTTTCCCAGTCTCATCAGATCGGCCCTGGGCCGGAGTATGAAAGGGTCAAGTTCAACACAAAGGGTCGGAGTCCCCTCATCTCACACTATCTTCACATGAGACAACTACGGCACTACAAGCAGGCTGGCAGGGAGGTTCGCAGGACAGAGATCTCCAAAGAGCCATATCCTTTCACAATGATAGATATTTTAATAGTGCATCAGAACAGATTGGATGATAGTTGAGTGCATTGTGGAGTTGTGACAGCCATCTTGATTCTTGAGTTTTTTGCTTTTCTGATCCATCTTATTCTAGTGCATTGTTTCTGTTCTGTACAATCTTGACAAAAGCTTAGAAAGATGGCTTTAATTCTGTGACACAGACAGGAACTGTTGGAACAGGTAAACCATCAGCCATCAAGATATCACAAAGTGTATGCAACATAACATGCACCAGTTTAATATGCATGACATTTTGTAGGAGTAAAATATGTCATCTTCTAATACCTAATACCACCAGTAATATACTTATACAGTAAGTGGATCCTTCCTCGAGCTGAAATACAATGCTGACATGGATAATGCCACGTGTTCTGAGAAAGACTGTAGAATACCTAAGTAAGATAGAGCTATGCATCCATCATTCTGGAGTAGTATGACCTTGACCTGCTGACTCCATCTGGCCAGACCTACCAGCAGTTGATCCATAACACCCTGGCTCTGTCCGACGCCCTCAACAAGGAGTACCAGAGGTGAGATCTGCCAGACTTGTACAACACAAGTCCTAGCACCCACATTCACTTGTGGCCCACATATTTCAGTCATAGTCTCTAGACACTAGTCCCAAGCCGATTTGCTCTTGTAACATTTGTCTAGAATGTTCAGCTAGTAATAGCTGATAAATTGAAAATATTGCCAGAGTGAGTGGACTTAAAACGGAAATAATGGTCACAAAATATTTTCTTGGAATTGAAGATTTTGAAAGCAGACCACATCTGTGCTTATCAAAACTTCCACTATACCAAAGACTGTATTGCTTTCATGTATATTTAAAAACTGAAAGAGGCTATTTCATTTACATTTACTTTCTACACAATACAAAATTCAGAAGTCATCACTATGTTCTGTCATTAGATAAGGTACAGAGACATGTTGCTCTTAAATGTTTTGTTACATATGATGTGATTTACAGACATGTGATATTGCAGTCATAAATCAGAATTCCGTCTTTTTTATCTGTCAGATTTATTGTGGTGTTTCAATGTGTATCTTTGGATTTCTATTATGTCTTTGTCAGCAAAGAAGACATATCTGTTCACTCTTTTTTGTCATTCTTTGATCACATGCCTGGATATAGGATAGGATATGAATGATACATGAATCATTGTGTATTGCAGAATTTGTGAAGAGACAAACAATGAAATTTATGAGCTTGAGAGGAAGAAGCGAGACATGAATCGTGAGATTGACTCTCTGCAGAAGGAGTTGCTGTTCACAAGGAATCCTCTGGACCTGAAGATTCTCAGCGAAAGAATCATGGAACTAAAGGTATGATGGAGAAAAGAGGATTCTCTGATCACAGTGTCCTTGAGGTTGCTGCTTTAGTCCCTGAATCCAGGGCGTTTTGTATCATCAAGTGATATCACTTTTACTGTCAACAGAATAACAGAGAGAAGGGAATTACCAACAAATTCATTTTAAGATTATGTGGCTATGAAAAAGATCCTTTGACTTGATGTAAGAAATGTTAAAACTACCAGCCTTCAGCTTTCAATAAAAAGCAAACATTCGGAATTAACCTGTCTAAGGTTCATTTTAAGGTAATGGAAGCCAGGTACAATACAGTTCAGTGAAGATGTTTCCCTGAGAGTGTAATCCCCATGTATTTTCTTCAACGAATTCCTCTGCACATTTTGTAGATAGAACTAGTGCCCAGTAAGTAAAAACAAGTCAGGTAGGCAAAATGCATGAGTGTATCTTTCTACCCATCTAGCATGAGGTGATGCTCAAGATATCAACCTTGGGTTGCCTGCTCTAGGATCAGTTTTTGCCTGCCAACACTTGATAGAGGTTCCTCTATTGTCTGATATGAATTAATAATGTTCTAAATGGCTGACCACGTGCAGCTTCAAGCAAGGTGTGTCTTGGATAAGAAAGCATGGAAAAAGATTTTTTGTTTCAAATCTAAAGCAGACAATCCAGTAATTGACATCATGAGCATTGATCACGCAATAGGGATAAGATGACATGCATCAACCAAGCATAGTGCAGCATAGCATCGATATTTCATGTTGCCATCATGGACAATTGCATGTATGATCAGTAGTTTAATCTATCATTACACTCTAAATGAGTGAGTGAGTGAGTTGGGTATAACCATGCTTTGAACAGTTTTCCAGTTATATCACGGCGTGTCAGCTTATTGTGGGAGGAAAGCCCAAAGTGATGCAGGTCTCAGATGTTTACCACTTTGGTGAAACCCATGAGCACAGATATGGTGCTGACAAACCTAGAAACATGATCAGGGTGGACCTGGGATTGAAACCCATCATCATAGGTTCCTGGCTTCCCAAAAGACTTGCGATGCCTTGGACAACTTGGTTGCCCGTGCCCCGCTAATGGTGATCCTCTACATGTTGATGTAAAATCATGTTCCTTAATGTATTGAATTATGATTTACTGTTAATACAGGACCGAGATCGCATGACCCCTCTACTGACGACAGACCGAGACACGCCCCAGTTGTCAGATGACAGCAGCATCAGTGACGATGACAGTGTGGAGGAGAAAGAGTAACATCCACATGGCAGCATCACACCTGTGGATGTACACCCCATGGGACATGGTCCTGAAGGAGGAAACAATCTGTCATCCAACACTGGACAATCACGGACAGAGATGGAAAACTGACCATCTCATTACTTGTTGCTTCGAGGTTATGTGTCATAGCAACATTCGGAAGTAATCTCGGATCTTTACCTTTGAAAACAAGAAGTGGAATCCTAAGAATATAAAACGTGTCTTGAGTGATTCCTTCATGTCAAAAATAATCTTTCAGATTTACAGTCAAAGACAAGTGTGGTTGTTTGCAACGAAATCTCTGTGATTGCAAACATTGGACCTTAACTCCACGGTCAGTTCACATATTAGGACAGCAGCTCAAATAACAAGAGTTTACAATGACATCATAAAAATAGCCTATGGACTAATTAGCTCATTTGAAGTTTTCCTGGCCTGACATATATATAGTAATGCTTTGACAAAGTTAAATCAAGTTCAGACAATGGTACATTCTATTAATATTTTCCAATGCTATATATCTTTATCAATCAAATCAAGAAAGAAACATACATTTTAGAATATGTTTATTAAAAAACAGTGTACAGAGATCGTGACGTGTCTGTATAAAGTACAAATAGTACAAATAAACAAATAGTTCAGAAGATAAAGTTGTTTGCTGTATATTCCTCCGACTTCTATGCTTAAACTGTGATATCATAATATGTTTGTGTGTACACGAAAATAAGTGACAACAAATAAATGCCTCTGAAAATCCTAAGCCATTACTGCCTGCTATGTCAAGATATACACAACAATGCTACACCTCATTATGACATTGTGCAGTCAACCTCGTACACAAGCTATGTGACTGACAATGGAGTGTTCAACACTCAAACACTTCAATGGGACTTGGGTAATGGATGGACTTTTCACACAACCATGGCCGCCAGGGTTTCAAACTATTGTAATATTACATTAAATGTTCATTAATGACAAAGTGCAACAGCCTTATACATATCATTACCAGCGACAATAATCTATTGGGTTGTTAGAATATTTGTAAAGAACAAATGTATGTTTATGAGACACTATTGGAGATCCGGGTAGAATAGGTCTTCAGCAACCCATGCTTGCCGTAAAAAGTGACTATGCTTGTCGTCAAAGGCGACTAACGGGAACGGGTGGTCAGGCTTGCAGACTTGGTTGATACATGTCATCATCCCAATTGCATAGATGGATGCTCATGATGTCAATCATTGGATTGTCTGGTCCAGACTTGATTAGTTACAGACTGCCGTCATATAGCTGGAATATTGCTGAGTGCTGCGTTAAACAACAAACAAACAAATAAACAAACAGAAAAAGAATGTGTAATGAGCTGAACCCCGGTGTGAAAAACAAAGACACAATTTTCTGATAACAACTTCTTTATTTACAGTAAAGGTGATATTTCGGTATAGATCCTATACCGTTGTCAAGCAAGGTATAAGGATCTATACCGAAACATCACCTTTACAGTATTAAAGAAGTTGTTATCCGTAAAGTGTGTCTATTTTGTCATTCATCAGCTTCTAAGTAATGCCTATCAAACAACACAATGTGAAAGTCTTAATGTAAAATCAGTGGTAAAAGAGTGCTAATATCCCAATTTCAAAACAGTATTTATTCAGTGTGCTCTGTAAGATCATAAACTCTTAATGTGATATCTTTTGGGGTATTGTTTGTTACCTCATAACACAACACAATTACATTCCACACTGCACAGAATACAGTAGTCTAAAACAGGCTAGATTCACTAACACAGACAACATACACAGACTATCAGATACTTGCTACAATACAACAAATATTTTCTAATAAATGTGATCCCACTTGCTAAAAACTACATCAACACTATAAAACTAAACAGCCTGGCAAAAATATCCTCCATCACATGATCTACAGACTTATCTAACCTAGGACTACGGTCTGGTCAATCTGTCACAGATTTTATTTCCATTACAACCGAACAATGTGTGACTAGAGACTAAACAGAAATTAGGTTGGAATTTTGGAATTTTGGCTGGACTGACGAGTCTATGCATAGTCCAGTCAAAATCCCCTTAACGAAATTGACATCTGCTTCATAAACAACATGGCAACTGCCATGACGAATTCGTTTGATTGCAAGATTTGCAGATCATGTGTTTCGTCAACTGGGCGTCAACAGATATTTTCAAAATCTTTTCATGTTTTTAGTAAAGGTACACATGTGATTGGATGCACTTTGCAAGTTAAAACCTGTTTTATTACAATGAAGATCTTTATTAGTGACGAGATCGTCTTTACTGGTCACCGCAATTTTGTTAGGCAAATTTAAGTGATATGAGAGGTAGAATCTGCTTGGTCAGTAGGCGGGACATAGAAGGGACATAACTCGTAATATCAACTGGTGGCGCTACAATCAAGCCCAGAAATTCCGGCCTAGTTCGGCAAGGGTGGAAACTGGACTTTTAACATCAGTGTGGTAAATCTGTCAGAGATTTTAATTCACATTACACGTGAACATTGTGTGACTGGAAAATAAACAGATTTGAAATAATTTCAGTTCCACAGATCAAAATTGTGACCAAACAATACAACCTCTCTATTTGTCTAAACATTAACAATACAAGCCGACACATAATTTCACATTTTGACAGAGCTTTGGTGAATGTGGCCATTCAAGGAGAAGTAAAAGGCACTTGATGAAGTTTGGTGATGTCATTCACTCTGTGTATATAGCAGCGCCGCCACCAGGCTGGGTACCAAACAGCGATGTTGCCACTTGAGATTGGCGTTGTGAGTTATCATAGTATTCTTTTTTCACTTTGGCAAGGAATGGCTTGACCTGGTCTGCTGGTACCACGGACACGGCACAGCCGCCCCACCCAGCTCCGGTCAGACGGGACCCAAGCGCCCCAGCCTTCCTGAAACACACAGTCAAATGAATGTAACCCATATCAATATACAGTAGATTTTCAAATCAGGATAAAGACATCACTTTCGGTTTTGAGACATCTTCCCGAGGCAAGGGAGTTAACTGACTTTAAAAGTCCAGTTTCCACCCTTGCCGAACTAGGCTGGAATTATGGTGTTATAATTTGCCTGGATTAACGAGACTATGCAGAGCATGTGTACTGTCAACTTGGCATCAACAAATATTTTCCATAACATACTAACAATACTTCTTGAATGAAACTACATTGTATTTACAATTATTTCATGTGTTAATGACCTTCAAAGTGATCTTGACATTTGACACAGGTATTGAGTCATAAGTGACTGGAAAAGGCATTGAATTAATCTGATGTTTCATGACATTTTTACCTTGAGTGATCTTGACCTTGGCATGAGTGAGACCCCACCTTAGAGATCATGAATCCTAAGCCAAATTCTTATCATTGATATTCAAGTTATCGTGTACACAAGGTTTTGTTTGAATGCCATGGTCGTAATGATTGACCTTGACCTTCAAAGTTGTCCAATCATGTGAAAAATCCCAAGGGGTATATAGGAGGAATATCAAGTATGAAATCTCAATCTAACATTTGTGGAAAACCAATTGTGCCAGCACTCAAATTCAAGGAAACTCACAGCCCCTTTACTTCGGGTGCTAAACAATAAGCCAAAGTGATGGACCATTAAGTATTTAAGAAACCTATGACTGAACAAATATTTCAAATAGATCATATTCAGTGACGGGACAAGGGGGATAGGAGATAGGTAGACCCAAAACAAAACATACATTAAAACTTTAAAACAAAGCAACAATGAAAAGAAATAAAAACAAAAATATATTTACAGACATGAAGTTCGACATTACAAACTGCATTGCATATAGATTCACTTGCAGTACTCCCTGTGGTGATTCCCAGACTATTGTTAGCCCATGCTCATCTTCTGTTGAAAAGTTGAGAGTGACTGAATGTTGATTAAACCCTTTTACAGCATGTGCAGCCATCTGTGCTGTCAGAGCAGACATTTTAACCACCCAATCCTCATCAGTCAGGGGGTGGTGGGGGACTTAGTGGTTAAAGCGCTGGCTCGTCACACCGAAAACCCTGGTTCGATTCCCCACATGGGTACAATGTGTGAAGCCCATTTCTGGTGTCCACCATGATATTGCTGGAATATTGCTAAAAGTAGCATAAAAAGCATACTCACTCACTCATAAACTCATTAGTCAGCTCTTACAACTCATGAGGCACCGGCGACCTATTCTGACAAAACATTCCCACTGGTCTGTATTCAATGTTAGGAGTCACTATTATAGATCATCTGAAACTCAAGTTGAAGATATAGCTCTACATACACGCAGATGTCCACCAGATTGTCCAGGTCAGGATGACTGCACTCGTACAGGTCCCGGCAACTGGCGTGACTTGCACTCATCAGCTCCCCAAGACGCTCCAGGCCATTGGCTGGTTTGTCATCACACACGGCCTTGAACTGCCACACACGATTAGCCTCGCCATATACATGTCTAGCACGCTGGTACAGTTTAAAGCTTTGTGCTGTTGATAAAAAAATGATAGGGACATTGATGATCAAACATTTTAGCCATACATAAAATATCCTACATCAAGCATCAGTATTCTACATCAAACATCAGAGCCATAATCAAACATAGTCACACTTTAGAGACAAACACCAAGCATGAGTCCTTCATCAAACATTAGAGTCACAATCAAACATCGAAAAAATTCATCAACATCAGTCATACATCAAACATCAGTCATACATCATACTTCAATGATCTCACACATTTCTTAAACAGAAATGGTACAATATTGGCCTGAGTCAAAGTTATTTCAATCAATTGAACATTTATTGAAAATCATTCGGGCTAAGAATAAGGAATTTCCACATTCTGAAGTCACCAAATGAATCTCATTCAGTTGAAAACACAAACATGGGAGTAAAAACCTATCAAATCCACTGCAGGAGCCTTTAAAGCCTTTAACTTGTGTCTCAGTGTACTAACTTGTGTCTCGGTATACTAACTTGTGTCTCAGTGTACTAAGTTGTGTCTCAGTGTACTAACTTGTGTCTCAGTGTACTAACGTGTGTCTCAGTGTACTAACTTGTGTCTCAGTGTACTAACTTGTGTCTCAGTGTACTAACGTGTGTATCAGTGTACTAACTTGTGCCTCAGTGTACTAACTTGTGTCTCAGTGTACTAACTTGTGTCTCAGTGTACTAACTTGTGTCTCAGTGTACTAACGTGTGTATCAGTGTACTAACTTGTGTCTCAGTGTACTAACGTGTGTATCAGTGTACTAACTTGTGTCTCAGTGTACTAACTTGTGTCTCAGTGTACTAACTTGTGTCTCAGTGTACTAACTTGTGTCTCAGTGTACTAACGTGTGTCTCAGTGTACTAACTTGTGTGTCAGTGTACTAACTTGTGTCTCAGTGTACTAACTTGTGAGAGTATTAGCGCTGAGAGTGGTGCTGGCAAGTTCCTCAGCAGTGACTCCAAGGATCTGACACACTTCATCCTTGGAGTAGGGTTCCTGGTGCAGGACGTCTTCCACCACCCCCAGCATGTCCTCCAGACCCAGACCCAGCTGCTGCTGCAGGTCCCCAAGACGCTTCAGTCCCTTCCACTCCACCCCCCGGGCTTTGGCCATCACCTACAAGTGGCCAGCCAAATAGTAACACAGGAACAAGGAAACTTATTTGCTTGTTTCATGGATGAGTCTGACTTTAATCTTGAAAAAGTATAATACCGTATTCAACGTAATAAGCGCCCAGGGCGCTCTCAAAATTAGAAATAGGGGGCTCTTATTAGAATAATATTTTGGTGAAAAAAAGATAAATTTCATGGTTTATGCTGACAGTCTGAAATGTTTATGTACGACAGATATATTTTGCTAGAATTTAATTGCCCATAATTAAGGGTGCATATAACACACGAGTGCGTATTATACGGGAAAAATAAGTCTTGTGTACATTGATCAATCGGAAGGGGTGCCAATTGGGATTGTTCACTAGCCAATATATATGCAAATATCACCGTGGGCGCTTATTAGAACGGGCACTTATAACGTGGAATACGGTAACTTAAATAGTCAGAATTATTATAAATGCTTTTAACAGTTTGTATTACTCATAATTAACCCTGCTGATATTTTAAATAATTTTATATTTTGAATTTCAATTCTTCATGAAATGTCCTACAGGACTGTTTGACTGGTGTGGACTGCATGTGCTTGTGAAGTATTGTTAAATCAAACACTTGGGGGAAAGTTAATTTTAATAGACGTACGTGTCATGTGCTCTTCTTCTGTGAAATAAATAGCAGAATATGCCAAATAACATTAAGGCATCTTCAAATGAGACAGGTCTGGTTTACCTGCGATGACTGTAATTTACATGTTGTTTCAAGAGTTAATGTTCCTTGAACGTAAATATGCAATGACATCAGTTAACATGACCTGTACAAGGCATCTTCAAATGAGAAAAAAGACGAGTGAGATTTGCTGATGCAGCTTGCACTCAAAGCATCACTATCATGTTGGATGTAAATATATCTGTACCCGGTACTTTCTTATTGTTTATCTTTTGGTGTTGGTCTTTCTCCAAGGCATTAAATATATTACTGTACATGTCCACACATCTTCCAAGACCAAGATACCAAGGGACATAACTCTTTGCTGGAATCACATTTCTCTGATCCAGACTTCTGTCTAAACCAGACTTAAATCCCAGTCCCATGCATGTCCAGTTTGGACAATTCCACTGTATGAAAATCACTAGCCTTGCTCCAAGGCTGTACTGAAGGATAGTCCATGGATGTATAGTAATTCTATCGGTATAATAGGCAAGTCTAGATAAGTGGACATTACTAGGATTCCAGTTTTTCATGCGGACAACTTGTTCTTATTATTTATGTAATCTAGAAATTTTGATTTAAACTAATAATCATTGCTTTATAGACTTGTGCAAGTCTAGTGAATCACCTGTGTTGCAAGTCTGCACTCCACAACCCGGATGTTGAAGTGGGATGTCGCAGCCTTGTTGGCCTCTACACAGCTGTTACTGATGACAAAGGCAGCACCCTCTGGTAGCCCTACATCCACTGACCTCAAGGGGTTGAACTCTATCAACTTTGCCTGAAATGATGGAGAAATTGTATATTTTGTTATGTTGAATGTTCTTACACAAATTCCCATTACTGAGGCTATAAAGCATACTTCATTTAAAGTTTCACAGTAAATGTCTATTTCATATAAAGAAATAGTGATCTACAAATTCAATTCTTCTAAGAAACAAGTAACAGCTATTTATTTAAATGCATATCAACCTTTGACTTTCTAGATTGTTTGTATCAACAAGTGTTACATACACAAGCAAGTATGACATATTTGTTGGATTCAAAGGATTCCTCAATCTCATTCAAATCAGATGTAAGTTCTCGCTGCCACAAAAAAAAGATCTGAGGACATACCATAAAGGGTAACGTCAGGACGACCTTTCATGAACTTTGACCGACCACTGAAATGTCTAACAAGATGTCGACACCAGCCAATTGGAAAGCAGCTTTCTCGAGCTTTACGGCACTCATTTCAGACTACGCTTTATAAATATGTTGACACAGTTCTTGATTAAAATTTTGAAAACTGAACAAACGAACATTCCAGAATGTTCCTCCATTCAAATGTTTATCCCATGGAAGCGAGAAATAGACGATACTTTTGACGGAATCAGTCGTACAGGCTATAAATGTCGTTTGGAATACACCGTGTTAACGTTTTCGAGGTTGCATGATCAGAAAACACATTCTGAGTGTCACTTTCATGATCTGGTAAGCGACGCTTTGATTGGTCGGATGAAAGGTCGTTCTGACGTGACCCGTAATGGGATGTCCTCAAATCTTTGTTTAGCGATAGCGAGAACTAAGATCTGATTTTAATGAGATTGAGGATTCCTTAACACATACATGTACTTAAACCTCTGTAGTACAGTGTCGCTATTCCTGACTTACACCATTATGATCACGTCACGCTATTGTTGTTGCTGTTGATTCTGTGCCAGTAATTCACCTGCCATTTAAACTGCCTCAACTATAGGCATGATTGGTCATGATGCAACTTTATAGAGAAATTATTTATGAACCATAAAAATGTCAGAGAAATCACTAGAATCTGTTGATTCCAAAAGTGGAATCAACAAGCCAAAAGGTCTTATTGAATCTGCTTCTGGCATCAACAAATTTAAGAATTTGGGCCTGTTGAATCTGCTTCTGGAATCAACAAATGTAAGAATTTGGGCCTGTTGAATCTGCTTCTGGAATCAACAAATGTAAGAATTTGGGCCTGTTGAATCTGCTTCTGGAATCAACAAATGTAAGAATTTCCCTGTTGAATCTGCTTCTGGAATCAACAAATGTAAGAATTTGGGCCTGTTGAATCTGCTTCTAGAATCAACAAATGTAAGAATTTGGGCCTGTTGAATCTGCTTCTGGAATCAACAAATGTAAGAATTTCCCTGTTGAATCTGCTTCTGGAATCAACAAATGTAAGAATTTGGGCCTGTTGAATCTGCTTCTGGAATCAACAAATGTAAGAATTTGGGCCTGTTGAATCTGCTTCTGGAATCAACAAATGTAAGAATTTCCCTGTTGAATCTGCTTCTGGAATCAACAAATGTAAGAATTTGGGCCTGTTGAATCTGCTTCTGGCATCAACAGATTTGAGTGATTTCTCTGTTACTACTCCTCTACTTACAGTTCCCTTTTGTGCCATGAAGCAGATAGCCTGGTCCATCCCGCCCCCCTCCGTACCGATGTAGTGTTCACAATGAGCACACAGGTCAGCAATCTCTTTCTGTGAACAATATCAGTACCCTTGTAAAACCGTGGTAAATGATTATTTGATGTTTAATGCTGCACTAAGCAATATTCACATGTAATTAATCGAGCATGGGCCAGACAATCCAATGATTGACATCATGAGCATCGATCATTGCAATTGGGATACGATAACATGCATCAACCAAGTTACCAAGCCTGACCACCTGATCAATTTAGTCACCTCTTATGACTAGCACAGATTGCTGGGGGCCTATTAGACTAACATCTAGTCCCTGAAATGAACATATCATACAGAAAAAAACCCAGTTGTTAAATTATCTTAAAATTAAAATTAATGAAAAGGAGCCCAGAGACACCCTTCATTTTAAGATACTGATAATGCAGAAATCTAGACTTGCCAAACATTATAAACTTGCCAAACATTATAGACTTGCGTGGGCTGTATTTGATATATTTGTATCAGGGTCTGAAGGACAGACTAGGGACCTATATTCTTTCCTGGAATCTCCACGTTTGGTCAAATTAAAAATGTTTGAAAAAAATTAATTCAGCATTCGTAAGCAAAATATTTTTCAATAACTGTTTGGGAAACACACTCACCTTGGACATTGTCCAGCCATTAGCATGCATCGTGGTGAGAGCAGCACAGCACACGAGAGCACTAGAGCTGGACAGACCTGCACTCTGTGGCACCGTCCCCTCCACCATGCACGTGAAGCCCTGCCCCTTGTTGCCCACGTGCTCCATCACCCCCCTGACGCCACACAGCACATAGTTGTACCACTGGGGGTCCGTGCTGCTGATGCTGAAGCTCTCAACATCCGTCTCAAAATCACTGTGTAGGAGAAAAACACACTGTAAAGAAGCCTAGCTCTAAGACTAGCAGCTGGTGTTCCAATATCTGGGTTGGAAATCAACCAAGACATAACTGGCCCAAATAGTGATAACATGTGCCCTCCCTGCAATATTTGGTCAGTTTTGAAAACTCAGCACTCTTAAAGAGTCCAATGATTGTCATTTAGAACTGGGTGGGGCACAGTTATAAACCTACTGCCACTTTTGCCAATTGTATTGTAGATATCTTTCTAACCTCTTGGGAGGTTTTACTTTTTCCAAGTAAGACCTGGTATGAGATCTTACTTTTTCCTAGGGACTCGAACCTGCAACCTTACATGGCGTGTTAAGTTTTGTAACCCACTGTTTTCCCACTGAGCCAACGGGGCAGGGGGTGAAAGAAGGATACTTACGGATATTTGGGGTTTGTGTTAGACATGGTAATTTTGCCTGAGTCGTTAGGTCTGGTGGCAAAGACGACATCTTGTTCAATGGCCATAGGCAAAACAGCATAGCCACAGTAGTCGATGTGTTCACCTAGAAGTTAAATTGAACTGTGTTAATTGTTTCTGATGTCAGTTCCAGTTGAACATTTACAGGGAAAATATAGTGGAATACAAATAGAAGCCAATATTCATATCTACCAGAAACATGAAACCAAATGAACTTCTTCCTTATAATAACTGGAATTTAAAACGCAAATACCTGACCCTGATTTTGATATGGGTCAAATCTCTGCCCAGGAAATTGTAGAACAACTTGAATTGAATCTTCAGCTACATGTATTTCTGAAACACACTACTATATTGTCAGGAAAAAATACTGACATTTTCCTCATCTCGTATAGAATTATTGCTCAGTAAATGATGAACACCTTTATTGTGGAAATGATTTTCTTGTTTTGTTGTACATAAATAGAATGGTACATGTAACAGTGTGCTCTTCCTGGTCAGGCCATTCATGTAACCCATCTGCCCAGCATTGCACGGATACATCTCCACTTTCTAAACTCTGTAGTGTTGTACATTGAAGTATCTTAAACTCACCAATGAGATTCACCCTCCCAGATGCTCTGGCATAAAATGTAGGATTGCCTTCAAATTTGGACCTGAATGCTGCCTTAATTGCGTCATATCTGAAATATTGAAATTTTACACAATTCAGTCTATGAGTGATAATACTTTTGTGTCTCCAAAGCATCACATAATCTAAAAAACAAAACATACATTAATAATTGATTGAACTGTAACTATTAATTTCAAGACCGAATATATAAAACTGATTCAAATACATTGGTTTGACAAATGTCACTGTGCACCAGCACTTCCCTTTCTCAGAGACAAGCTTGTGCATAAAATGACGTGCTTCTATATTTATCATTTGTCCTCATTTGTTCATCAGGAAGATTTAAGCAACATGATACTGTATCTTAAGTTGTTCTGTGTTTATCGGCTACTTTTCCCATATCATCATTGGGACACACTTGACTAAGACACATAAAATTACTAAAATACCAAATGATGAAAAATATTAACCAAATATACACAGTGTATCCTCTTTAATAAAACATGAGGATTGTTAATATCCAACTATTTGGTGTTGACCTGCTGTTATTTGTGGTATATAATGCAAGAATGGCATTGTGATGTACAAAAACATATACAAGCCTACTTTGTCTGTTTCGTAGGGGTGAAATGATACAGCAAGGTGAGGATACGATACGTATCGAGATACATAGGTTACGATACAAAACATATTGCGATATTTCGGAGTTCTAAGGGAAAAGTTAGCTGTTGACACGTGTTCGTATTAGCTATAGTAGTGAACTGGGAATGCTAATTACAACACATTTTGCTATACTTGAATGGCAACTTTGCTGGTAGGGGTGGGGGTGGGGGTTGGGGTGGAGGTGGGGGTTGGGGTGAGGAAGGTGTCATTATATCATATTACCATGCACCCTTTTTCAAAAAAGCAATGCATGTGAAAAAGAGCACCCAAAGACGTATATACATCTATATACGTCTTTGGAACACCACACACAAGGGAGAACTGGTCATGCACAACAACTTAAGACAGTCTACTAAACAGGTGTCTGCTCAATATCACTTGCCACGTAAGATATGCTCATTGATATTATCTACGTGATACGGTGAATAGATATATCCAAGCTTTATAACAAACATCTTTAAATCCAAGTATCTATTAAGGCCAACGGCAACCTCTGAGCATCAATGTCATTACCATGGTGACAATGTAACCAAATTATCACCTCTCTTTTGCTTCTGGGGGCACGCCTACCACTGGTGGGTTGTCCGCCATCTTTATGTCATGTGGTTCAAGTCATGTGATGTCTTTTTGAAAACGCGGGTATTGTGACTTATTGAACTGACACAATACAATATTGTCTGTTTGTTCAGAGGGTTTAATTTGTCTTAAACAAAAACTTGTAGCTTGCCATATCAGCTGCTTATTGAAATATCAGATTCCTGATAAGTCATGTCGAACAAAACTGGTTCCACGTGAGATCAAGCACTGTCTTCCAGGAGATACTGCTTCAATGAAATTACATCACAAACATTTACAGACCATTGTGGCGTCATCGACTGCCATGATGTCACAATCAAATGACATGTCTACTCTTGGCAACTGATGATGTGGTTACACACCGTTTCTTTGTTGTTTAACGCTGCAGTCTACATATATTCCAGGTATATGACGGCGGTCTGAAATTAATCGAGTCTGGACCCGACAATCCTGTGATTCAGCGAGCTTGACCGCCCGATCCCTTTAGTCGCCGCTTTCGACAAGCATAGTCGCCTTTTATGGCAAGCATGGGTTGCTGAAGGCCTAGATTCCACCTCGCATCTTTTCGGGTTTTGTTACACACTGAAAAAAATGGAAGAAATGTTTGGGATGATAAACAGATTCTCCCGGTCGTGTCTTTGATACCAATAATTCTCTTACGTACTTTATATCAGTGATTCAGTTAGTGATGTTATGATTAACTGATTTCACGTGTTTGATTAGTAATTAGGTTAACAATAACATTATTCATTGCACTGAATAAAACGGCCTGCCTGTTTGACATTATTTTTTTTCAAGATAAGATAAATTTACTGATATCATAAATTCATTTCACATCAGTAATATTTATGAATTAATGAGATCATTAGAACATTAATTGACAATAATGATGGTATGAATTTAATTAATTAATTATAACAGTAAATAGGTCATAAATGTGAAAACGGCTTGGCTTGTGTTCTCATGATCGCAACATCTAAATTGAATTACAAAGGCGGAAAAATGAACAATAACGCAACAATGAGACCTCATTAGTAATGTATCAATTGGTCAAGATGTCGCGAAGCGGCACTGCCACGATGTCAGCCTTTGGAAACGTTTGGTTCGATTAATTTATTCATCTAGCATTTATTTCAAGTAGGTACTTATCCTCACAGTACAGTTAAAATTATTTATTTATCGTTCTATATGTGAGAATTCCGTTGTGATTAGAGGGTCATTGTTTGTAAGTTACAAGTTTCTGATTATGGATTTTCAAGGAAATACTTGTACACTAGAACATTACTATTTAAGGTATTTCGATAAATTTGGAAACACGTTTACACAGAATGTCAAGCGATGTATGTTTCACCTGAATGGTTTAATTTTTATATAAGCGACGCCCATGTTTTTAGATCTATACTAACATTTAGTAGGTGTCTGGGGTGGTGAAAATGTTTCATATTGGAAAAGATCATGTTGACCAATCAAAATGTTTGCTACATTCACACCGAAGATAACAAAATGGCGGCGGCCATGTGTGGTCGTGTTGATATGACTTCGAGGGTTTGTGAACGCTTGTTGAAGGTATCTCGTAGGCACAGCAGTTTGGTTCACCAAAATGCAGTGGTGGAACAAGAAAGCCAAGACCTTTACCCACCTGTCAGACCCAAGTTCCCCGAGGGTAGCTGGGGAGCAATGGATAAGCGCCAGGCGTGGATCTGGCGAGGCAAAAAGGACAAGTTGTCGAATATCCCGTCAGTGACGGGCAGGATTGACATGATCACCAAGAAAAAAATGACCATGTGGAAATACAAGATAGCGGAAAGATACCCCCGAGTTTTGCCGTATCAGCAGTATGCTACCAAAACTCACCTTGTGAAGGGGTTGCCAAGTTTGTACTCTTCCCTTGAAGTGGATGAAGTTGTTAAAAAAATAAAACCAAGTGTTATTGACACACTTTGTTTAGAAAATGAAACACTTGTTAGGGACAAATTAATTTCAAAGGCTTCTCCATGGGAAAGGCCGGTACTTAGCTCGCAACTAATGCTGAAAAGTTTGCTCAGTACTCTCTCAACATGTCTTTCAGCTGATTGTGATCATCTAAACACTGCACAGTTTGATGAAAACGTGCGAGTAGAGGCATTTTGGGATCGACATGGATTTAGCCGTCAGAAAGTAATAGACAATGACGAGGATAATAAGAAATTTTTGACAGTTGATGAAAGTCGATTACAGGCTTGTCAGCGAGCAGATTTTGTCATCAGGAGTGAAAACCCACTGCCAGAGGTATGGGTTTCCAGTATCATAAGTATTAAATATGCTTAGGTTTGTTTAACATTTTAGTTTGTCTGAGACCACTTGGGTTAATGATAATTATTAGACCTAAGACCGAAAAACGGGTGTTTGATCGTAAAGATGTGTAAGTTTCCCTAAGACCGAGAACGGGTGTTTGATTGTAAAGATGTGTAAGTTTCCCTAAGACCGAAAACGGGTGTTGGATCGTGAAGCGAGAGTCACCAGAGCGTGAGGCGCGGTAACGGTATAACGAGACAGCGGTGGCACTATAACGCGGTAATTGAGCGGATGGTAGAGCTCGGGCTGCGCCCGGTAAACTGCATTGTTGCCATTATTAGTGTATGGCACCTGATGTAAATCATGTGCGACACAAAAGGTTGAATTAAGAATGTTTAGAATGTAATATCATGATAAGATTCTAGTACCACATGGAAACAATATTAATTACACATGCATCAGTTGCATATTGGTGCACACAGATTACATTGTCATTATGTTTGTTACTGGTTGTGCATTCATGGTAACATCTGACATCATCATGGTAATATTCATACATGTTAAGGAGGAATCGACAACATTGTTAAAGTGCTTCTCTTGTTTCAGTTTTTGTCCCGGGATGATGAGTTTTGTCAGACAGCAGGCTATCCTGAGCTGGAGTATCATCCCGTAACATATGGACAGAGCTTTGCGCATAAGCTTCAGCCTTCAGTTGTTGCTGGTATGTAACTGTCACTTTCTTAGCATGTTTTGTGTCAATTGAAAAAGTGTGTGTTAAAAAGATATATTACCATGATTACCATGATGACTTCTATTAGCTAAAAACAAACTATGACTAGCATCAATACTATCATGAGCATTTTAGTATTTTCAAATTGCTTAGTGCTTTGTTTATGTTGTGTATATGGTTAGGCAAACAACCACTCTATTATCAAATTCAATATTGAGTGATTATTGTACGTGTAGCAAATGTTAACAAATAAGTTGAAAATATGTCACTAATCATTTCTAATGTTTATGTCTGGCACTAACAATAATCTGGTCATAATTTATATGCCATTTTCTGATAATACGCAGTAGACCAAATAGCAATCACTTGCACTATTACTGGTGATGCAGTTAAAAATACCCAATAGTGTAATGCACAAGGCCTGACCCCCCTCTGCGCAACTGTTTTTGGTTAAAAATATCAGTGCCTTATCATCATGATCATACAGTGATGTACTTTTTTACAGGGCACTGGGTTGGTGACCCATGTGAATTTGGCTTGCTGACAGTATGTACGTCCAACGAAGTGCATGAGGTTGGCCAACAGTTTGGTGATGTTCATAGTCAGCAGCTTTTAACAGGCATGGGGATGAACACCTCATTTACAAGACTTGTAGCTGAGGCTTACTACCAAGGTAATATACTTCTTATAACGATGAGGAAGAAGTGTCTTGAGATGTGTTTCAGGATCAACTGTTTGTTGAATTAGGGCACATAATCTGGTAATGACAGTATCCATATGTATATGTATGTGTTTACCTGTAATACATAAAAGTTTTACTGAAACCATTTTCCTTTTTGTTTTTGCATCGACTTATGAGACCCAAACAAAATATATTTAGTAAACTTTTATGTATTTGAAAAAGTGTCAACGATTCCTGAGATAGTTGATGAAAATATCAGTTGTAAGTTCAGATTATTCAGTGTTGTAGAGGTGATCATGGCTGGAATGTAAGGGTCATGGTCGTGCATCACACGTCTGGCAGACTTGCAAATATGTACAGTTCAGATAACGGAGGCAAGAGTAAATTCTCAGTATATCATCAACATATATTTACCATGCATACCAATCTTTCTACTTCCTTTCACAGGTTTCAGCTCTGCAATAGATGTCACATACCCATTTACAACTCAAACCATTTTGAGTGATGGCCAACATTTTGCTTTTTTTGCGTACCAGCTGAACACATTAGAGCTGTGGAAAGATGATGATGGCAACCCACTGAGGAACATCTGTTGGCACACTCCAGAGATGAAACTGTACGACTCCGTCGAGGCAGGAGAAGTGAAAGGTTTCAATGACAATGTTCTCAAACACATAGTCAAGTTTCTTCTGTTGAAGCCTGGGAGACCGGGTGTAGAGCTCCGACCTTCATTACCAGCAGGGGAGCCTGCGCCCAGAGAGACCACCACTTACATTAATGATAAACAAGTGGTGGTCGTTGTCGAGGAAGAAGAAAAATATGTGTAACTGTTGTGCTTTCATCTTCTATGTTATACAGTGGGGAAGTCATACATGATGGCATGTTTATGTATTAAGGCAAAACCTTACCAACAGTGACCAAGATGGAAGAAAACATTATAAGCAATGTACTGAGAGGAAAAATTAGAATTTCTTTTACAGAATAATAGCCTACTGTTGCCATAATTGTTTTCAGTTAATGTGGTTCACAGCAACAAATATGATACTGAGTGAAATTCTAGCATTTGGAGTTGTCATTGTCATTCTATTTCAAATTACATGCTTTCCTTTGGTGTAATTCCCATATTTCTTCCCAGCAGCATATTGTTGGTATGCTATAGATCATGTGAAACAAACTGTTAAAATATGCCTTTCTGTCCATCTGTCTATTAGGGGAACATGCTGAAGTGGGAAAGCAATTTTGCCATGAATGAGTTGTTCTCAGTTTAGTAATCAGACTAGTGTTGTCCTGGCTGTCAGTGACTTGTGAGTATTCCAGGAAGACTTGAAGCATGCACTGAAGTCAGATGTCATCCTGTGACATGGGTGTCACAGTGCATGGTGGGTGGTGTTGCAGTCCGGAGTAGAGACTGCTTGATATAGGAGTGTTGTGTGTGCGACACCTGTGATGTGGAGTGATAGTGCTATACATGTATTATGAGGATCAGTACAAGTGTGTTTGTTTGTATATGGAACACTTAATAAACAAGTTATTATAACCAAGGGTGTTTACTTATCAACATCATGAACATGAAAATGGAGGGAAACATGGAACAGCTTCATTTTCTAGTATGCTGAAACAATCTTATGTTGTTTTGTCACAAGTAACTCAAATAAACTATTGCCACAACAATCAGAACATGAAACACAACTGTGCAGAAGTTTGAATCTCAGGACAACTTAACATCAAGTCACCATGGAGGTGGAGGTGAAAAGGTTGATCTTTGGAGTTATCTCCTCTAAATTGTATACTGTCCCAGTTTGTATGGCTGGAGGTTCCACTTTACTACATCTGAATCCATAGTGTGGCCAGTCGTATTGTAGAAAGATGGAATGTGCAGAGAAGAAGCTGGCAGCTAGGATTGGATGATATTGTGTAAGATGTTGGTAAATCTACATACATTGTTTGATAGGCATTACTTACACGTTGACGGATGACAAGATAAAACAATTTTTATGGATAACAACTTCTTTAATACTGGGAAAAGCGACGTTTAGGTATAGATCCTATACCCTTGTCAAGCAAGACTGAATGAGGGACATTGTACAGAATATATATAGTAGTTGGAGGATTAACAGTAACAACAATTGCATACATGAGTGGGATAACATTGGTAGGTGTTGACAACAAAGGGATGAAGCTGTCACAACATGATGGACAGAGAACACATAGGTGGAAGCCAATAGGGACATGAAGCCAATAAACAGGATAAGTGATTATTGTTTGATGAGTTCATAGTAGGCGGGTGGGATGAAATAGCCTTGATCTCTGTTGATTGATGGCTTGTGGCGGCGAATGTGGACTGCTTCTGTTAGTTTTCTTTTAGTGAAATCATGGAGGTTGTTGGCGAGGACTACAGAATCTACATACACCTAGTAATTGAAGCTGATGCATTTTTTCAATAATTGGTCCTGTTTGTTTTACAGTATTTATGTCATTATTGATGTGTTCCTTGGTGCATGTGAAAATCAAGCAATGTTTGTACGTGGATTGGCTGTTGAATGCCTAGTGTTTTCTTAATTAACATTATTAAAAAAGTCTGCAGGAAAGTATTTGGTTGTGTGTAACCTTGAGGCATCAGGCATGTATGAGCCAGTCATCTATTAACCTGAAGCAATCTTCCTAATGTTAAACGTATTCTTGTGAGTAAACACGGCTCGTTTTTGACAATTGGGTCACATGATGTTCCTGCCTTCTCCCTGAAAACTGAATTGTTGCTGGTTACAAATAACTCACCATTGTAACTCAACATTATATCCTGGCTACAACTGTCTCCAGTGATTGTGGCGTCAACATGATGATTGCCAAGAGAGTGCTTTGGAAGATTACATCTTGTTTGAAATGAGCAAAATCTATTTCCTCTTCAATGATTTATTCATACATGTAAATGAACATATAAAATATCTAGTACAATAATATGTAACTGTACAAATAATGTTGACCATATAACAAGAAAACTCCAAACAAAATAAACCTTAAAAAATCAGCAGTAGTGTAAATGTTAATTTATCACAGTTCATACCTTCACGGACGGTTGATCACATTTATTTGCATATAAGATATAGGAGTAAATATTAATTACTTTTCACATTTTGTAATGAGGAACTGGTTTCCTTGAGAATACTGGAATAGTAGCTGACTCCTCTATCTGCGCTTTGAAGCCAGATTCTTCTTATGATATGTTTCAAGAGAACAAGCAGGCGTAAATATGCATGAAGATTATATCAAATCATTTCTACAAATCAACATAAATAAACAATGCATTCAAATCACAACCACCTCAAGCAAACATTAAAATATCGAGTTCTTTTCGTATAGAAATTGTGAACTGTAAAAATAAGTCCCACAGTTCAAACATTAATAACAGTTACACAATAGGTTTTGGTATTTGAAATAAACATACAGGCACTCATTTCCTCAGGAAACTAAGTAGCGACCTTGACAGGAACAGGTTTATTTTGGAATTTTACAAATATTTCATGTACATTAGAATTGCAATTCATAACCCTGGACTTACCGCTATACAAAAGACATCATGATACTTATAATTACTATATCATTTGGTAAATGCTTCCAGAATTCACAATGTATCTATCTTCAAAGCATTTTGTGAATATCCAGAACCTGTCCCCTCGCTGCCACACTCACCAGTATCAGGTGACTCTTGTGTCAGTGTGGCAGTAATGCTGAATACACCAAACATACATGTTGTGCCTATCACTTGCAGCACACCTACTACTGCTAACCACTGTGTATAGAGGTTGTCTATGCTGGATATATATCTCTTCCTTACAAGCTGGAGGGCTACAGCTGTGGATGTCTCCCCCTCACTTGGCCTGCAGCTGCAGGGGCTCCAGCTGGGCATGTTTGAGTGGCAGCTGTCGTGTGAGAGTCTCGTACTGGATGGCGTGCTGCTTCCGCTCCTCCTGCAGCCAGTACAGCATCTCCACACGGTCCCACTTCATCTTCTCCGCGTACGGACGACCCTGACAGAGGACAAGCCATAATGACATATCTGTGTTCCATTTACTTATTCAGTCTAATTAATGATGTCTGAGGTAAAACATAACTATTAGGTTTAAAAAAATAAAAGAATTGGTTCTCAGGCAATGTTTTTTGAAAATATAGTGTGTGAGGGCGGTCTCTTTTTTTTTTCTTTTTTTCTTTTTTAGTTCAAACTAGTATGTAACCAAACAAACAGTGTAACCAAATAAACAGTTGTGTACATTCAACCTGTGAAAGGGCCTCCCTAGAAAATGTATTCCTTGATGAGTAAAATACTGGAATACAGTATTTGACTACCATTGGATTTGGAATATATAAGGATTTTTTTTTTAAATTTTAAATGGAAATAAAAACAAAATGTGAGGCAAACTTTATGATGATGCGGGCGGCGTCTGAGAACCAAGACTATTATTTTTTTAGCCTTATCATTTATATTAATGCTAAAGTCTATCAAAAATGATATCATTAGTGAACTTGCATATAGTAAAATGGAACAGGATCCACTTGCACAAAGTGATCTCAGCTCTACTACAATCGTAACTCACATACTATAAAATAGACTTATGACAGTCATGGAGCTAAGATCACTTGGGCAAGTGGACCCAATTAAGGCCCGTCTTCTGTTTTTCTCTTTGTTTAAAGATTTTCAGTGCCAAAGATCCGTATCAGTAGACATTTTAGGTGGGAAAAAGTCATTCAGAGTTTATTTTTCTACTTTCTATTCCATAACGTTTTCTAAATATGTTGCTGGATGTGAAATGTTCCTCAAGGTCTTGTATTCTAAAGTGTTCTGTGCACATTTGTTTTGTGGTGAACAAACTAACTGACATTCTGCAGAACAAATATAAATTAGTCCTTTTCATATCCCCCCTCAAATTCCTTTACTTAGGGTGTGTGTATCTGGTTTCTTTTGTCTGTCATTTAATGCCGCAGCCTGCAAATAATCAAGTCTGGAACAGAAATCCAATTAAAACACTAAGAGTACGGATTGCGTGGTCAGTTGTAATGCATGTTAAGAAATCACAACTATTATCAGTAGTTGTGATTTGTTACCACATCCATTGACCTACCTTAAACGATATGCTGTCCTGGAACTTTTCCTTCACATAGTCAAGTTCAGCTTTAATTTCCAAATCCAGGGCATCAATACTCTGAAAGACATAATGACAGATTCTGGATTGCCTGAAGCACAGTGAGTACAGCCTGTCATGGCATGGAAGGGTGTAACAATTGATTAAACTAAAACAGCACTGCAATATTCATTGCCAGAATCCACAAGCATGTGTATGATGCTATGAATAGAGGAACACTGCTTTCAACAAGGCTTGTGACTAGCTAATAGGGGAACACTGCTATCAACAAGGCTTGTGACACCCCCCAGTGCTATCTCTCTCTCTCTCTTCACATCCCCCTGATCCTGATGTGGCTAATAGAGGAACAGTGCTTTCAACAAGGCTTGTGACTAGCTAATAGAGGAATACTGCTTTCAACAAGGCTTGTGACTAGCTAATAGAGGAACACTGCTTTCAACAAGGCTTGTGACTAGCTAATAGAGGAACGCTGCTTTCATCAAGGCTTGTGACTAGCTAATAGAGGAACACTGCTTTCAACAAGGCTTATGACTAGCTAATAGAGGAACACTGCTTTCAACAAGGCATGTGGCTAGCTAATAGAGGAACACTGCTTTCAACAAGGCTTGTGACTAGCTAATAGAGGAACACTGCTTTCAACAAGGCTTGTGACTAGCTAATAGAGGAACACTGCTTTCATCAAGGCTTGTGACTACATGTAGCTAATAGAGGAACACTGCTTTCAACAAGGCTTATGACTAGCTAATAGAGGAACACTGCTTTCAACAAGGCTTGTGACTAGCTAATAGGGGAACACTGCTATCAACAAGGCTTGTGACTAGCTAATAGAGGAACACTGCTATCAATAAGGCTTGTGACTAGCTAATAGAGGAACACTGCTATCAATAAGGCTTGTGACATCCCCCAGTGTTGTAACCCACACAGGTGTTACCTTGTAGTAGAAGCTCCTCTGCCTCGCCTCCTCCAGCCTCAGCACCGAGCTGCCCTTGTGTCCTGCAACATCCCACATTAACCACGTCATGCCTGGTACAGGACAAGTGCTCATGTTGAGAGTAGTCTGTACTTCTTTAAAACAGTTTGTAAGCTTTCTACTTCTAAGACCATGAGAGATATTAATTTAAGGCTTGGCCAAGTCTGTTAGACAAATACTATTTTTCACATTCTTCAACTAAACCATATGATGCATCATAAAATCTCCCTCCTTGCCTCTGCCATGTGTGGACAGACTTCTGAGACGGTTGCATGAAGGGAGATCTGTGAGTAACTTGATAAGGATCTGAGGTTCGCAGTGGTGTTAAGATGGTTTGGTATAGTTTTCACTATGTGTTACACAGCTTATACAAAGAGGACATCATAGAAATTCTACAAGTAGTCCTTAGAAGGGGTTGTCTAGGTTAGGGATAAATTACACGAAAAGGTGGATGACACATAATCATTCCTGCCTAACTGATGACAAGCTTTCCTGCATACTACCTCAGTAGGTCACATGACAAAGTGAAACATTCACAGCAGAATCCCCGCTGACATGCATGCATCTTCAATGTACAAACCTTTCTCAAAGAATCTGTTGGGGTCAGAGGCCCTTCTTTCAAAGTTTTCCAATTTCTCCATGAGAGCTTCTCGTTTGAGAATCAGATCCGCTGCACTCTCCCACTTCTCCATGACCTGGTAACCGAAAATTAAAAGCAACAATCATGATTTGTTTTCCTTGATTTGGAATATTGGACCTTATTGAAAAAGCATCAAAAGTGGTTAACGGCATCCTCTTCAAAACAATCATAATTCTTCCTTATTACTTGAAAGATTTTATTTGAGGACAATTGCTGTTAGCACGATTAGTTACAGAAAATTTGATAAATAGATACTAAAATGCCACTTCAAGAAAACAGGATCCTACCTCATCAAGTCTGGCAAAGAACTCATTACAGCTGTACTTGATGGCCATGTCCAGTTTCATGCTGTCGGTCATCTTGAGACACGCCCACACACGCTCCAGGCGCTCCTGTGGTGTTGCTGGTTTCTTGAACTCTGCCTGCATATGCAAGAACCCAGAAAATTTACTTGTCAGGATGTTATAACCCAACAACACAAGCTGTAACGACTTATGGAAAAAGATCCTTCAAATATACAGCAGCCTCAATGTGGAATGATCTACCACTGCAAATAAAACAATCCCCAAACTTATCATCAGTTAAACACATTCCTTGTTAGACAGGCTTTCCCCTCAACAGTCTCTTGACTCTGACTCTTTCAACAAGTGCAAATAAACATATAGAGAAGAGTAACAAAATCATGTACTGCATCTATCAACAAATTGACAAGCCTCACATAATGTTGATATATATACATGAAACTAATGCTGATGGTTTATTTGTATGTTTAATTGATGGTTGTCCTACCTCAGATGACTTGGATGCTGCGGAGTGGGTGGTGCTTGTTTGTCTCCCCGATGCTTGAGATTTGGCTCTGGATACAAATAAGCTGAGTTATCATACTCCAGGTCAGAATGATGAGATCTGATTGGTTCACATGATCTATCCTGCCTTGGAGGGAAATAAATTTCTCAGCGGGAGAATAAAATATTTATACCCCACCAAGAAGAAAACAGGCTGCACGTGGATTTCTCAGCAGGAGAATAAATCCCTTATATCCCACTTCAAAGCAAAAAGTTGCACGCTTTTTCCAAGTCAAGGAAAGTTAGGTGACATAGCACAAGTTAACCTTATCTCTATCGAACAGCTGTTTTCTATCAATTTTGAATTTGTTTTAATTCTTTTCAATGGCAGATTAAACCATGTTGGTAAGATAGATTTGTTGTAGCAGTATCACTTGGGGTGCATGTAGTTTCATGCTTCAATCAACATAAAGACACCAGTCCCATTTGACTCATACCTGTCAAATATGGCAGGAAGATTATTTGGATGGTCTATTTGGGGTGTATTTAACCAGGGATCCAGATAATGTTTTCAGCCACTTTGATTTTTTAGTATATTTTTATTCCTTTGGGTCCAGGCTGTTGGATATTTTTACATCAATGAGAAGACATTTATTTTTTTACTAATTCTGCTAAATCCTGTTTGAGGTGACTTCTAATTTGAATGTGCAGCCCCAAGTGAGTAACATGTTGCTAAACTCACAACAAAGATATACATGTCTAATAATGATAACAGAGATGTAGTGCCCTGTTTATGCATTATTCACAGCAGATGACTAGAGTTCATGTATGTGTGATGCCTGCATTCTCTCAGTAAAGAGATACTCAGGTTGAACAGGATACACTGGGTAATACGCAATGTTGTTATAATGTTGGATTTTTTATTTTTTCCCCCGCATATTTGTATGCAAACAACTTAAAATTAATTCGGTGGTGGTGATTGATGTTGCATATTTTATACAAACCCGTGATGATCTGTGTGAGAATAGGTCTTCAGCAACCCATGCTTGTCATAAGAGGCGACTAACGGGATCGGGTGGTCAGACTCGCCGACTTGGTTGATGCATGTCATCGTAGCGCAATTGTGTGGATCGATGCTCATGATATCAATAACTGGATTGTCTGGTCCAGACTCGATTTTTTACAGACTGCCATCATATAGCTTGAATATTGCTGAGTGCAGCTTTAAATTACAAACAAAACAATATTTTACACCAATATTCCACTGGAGCTATGATTAACACTGCTAGCTAAGATGAAGGGAGAAAGTAGTTGACAGAAATAACTTCGGATCAACTATCAGAAGTTGAATACAGAGTACAGGGTCTATTCATGAGGAGAAGCATGAGAGGCTGGCTCACCGTGACTTCTCCAGCATCAAGCGAGCCTGTCTGGCCTGTGCAACCCTCTCTTTCAGTGTCTTGGCCGATTTTTCTGCTTCCACAGGCTGCTGTGTCTTCTTGCTGGCTTCTTCCTCATCAACTACAACATGATCCAATACACTGTGGCAGCAAGTCTACACATTGCACATTTAGTCAGAGATTGTTCTTAACGAACCTGTCAGACAGTAAGAGAGAATACCCCTGAGTGGGGGACAGAATAGATCCCCAGCATCTATGCTTGTCATACATCAATGAGGATATGGCAGTCACAACGTGTTAGGCCAGACTTATTTACAGCTTGGTTTAAGAATACGCCGACTTCCAAAAATTCAACTGTGTAAAAAACTAACATAAGGCTAAAAAAAATAATAGTCTTGGTTCTCAGGCACTGCCCACATGATCATAAAGTCTGCCGCATGTTTCGTTTTTATTTCCATTTTAAAAAAAACAACAACAAAACAATCCTTATACTTAAAAACAATGCCATCCAATATAGCACTCAGTTACTTCCCTTTACATGCTCACTGCTTTACTGCACATCTCGTGTTATGGTCATGGCAGCGATAGGAGTTTGTATGCTTGTTTATGTAGGGAAGCCCTTTCCCAGGTTGATGTTACACAACTGTTTATTTGGTTACATACTTGTTTGAACAAGCAAAAAAAACCAAGCCACTGCCCGCCCGCATTATATTTTCAAAAGTCATTGCCTGAGCAGCAATTCTTTTTTCTTTTTTTAAGCCTAATAAACAGTAGTGTTTTTTATTCCACTTTCCAGAAATAAGTAAATGTTAAAAACAAAACAACTCATTTTACTGTCACTATCAATATCAATAAATTGTTTAAAATACCATAATTATAACCTATTGAAAATGTAGCTTAAAACCCTAAAACAAAATGAATAATGATAAATTGTGAAAGATGTGTCTATAACGGAAGGGACATAACTCTAATCATTTTTCTTCCCTATTCCTCCTACACCCACCTTTTTTCTTCCGACCTTCTAAACATTTTGAGTGAGTGGGTGAGTTGGGTTTAATGCTGCCTTCAAACAGTATTCCACTTATATCACATCATGTCAGCTTAATGTGGGAGGAAAGCCTGAAGTGAAGCAGGTCTCTGACATTTACCACTTTGGTGAAACCCACTAGCACGGTTATGGTGCTGACAAACCTAGAAACATCACCTAGGCAAACCGGGATTCGAACTCGTGATCATAGGTTTCTGGTGTGGCTAAGGGACGTAAGTCTGCACAGTGAAATGTGGCACCTTAGATAACCCGTGCCCCCTAAACAATTGAAGAAAATAACAAAACATATTTGAAATTGGAAGTTTTATATTTCTATTAGTTCGGCCTACTGACCTAAATTTGGAGGCCAAAAATCAATGAACATACACACAAAAATGTCTGGCCTCTCCTGGCTGACTAACAGTGCCATCATACATGCATGATTGTCTCTCATGCAGTCAGCCACTGGTTTTCCTGGCCCAGATTGTATTATTGACAGACAACCATGATATAGCAGGAATGACTTGGGCTCACTGAACACCATTACCTCATTCCCTGTTCCTGAATGTGAGAACACCAGACAACCACAGTCTACACCCTGTCACCATACAGTGGTAAACATCCATGTCTTACCTTCTAAGGGGGCACGGGTGGCCCAGTCGTCTATGGCGCCACGATTCACTGTGCAGAGTCGCGTCCCTTAGGCATGCCTGAAACCTATGATTGTGGGTTCGAATCCCGGTTCCCCACGATTATGTTTCTAGGTTTGTCATCACCATACCCGTGCTCCTGGGTTTCACCAAAGTGGTAAACGTCTGAGACCTGCATCACTTCGGCCTTTCCTCCCACATTAAGCTGACACGCCGTGATATAACTGGAATACTGTTAAAAGCGGCGTTAAACCCAACTCACTCACTCTTACCTTCTAAACCCGGGTCTTTGCCAAGGCCTCCCAAGAGGACAGAGTTAACATTCCAGAAGCCCTCCTTGTACTCCGTCTTCAGGGCCTTCAACTCCTCCACCTTCCTGTCTCGCTCTCTGGCGGCGGAACATCATCATACCATGTATGAACACATCACATACATCATGCAGCACTCGCTGATTCAGAAGAGACTAGAGGCACAATTTTAAATTACAAGTAACCGAAAACCTAAAATGTATCATAACCCTCACCATAAAACAAGTGAATTAAGAATTGTAGATTAAACCTTTATTTCAGATGATATCACCCTGTTGTTAGTTCTTGCAGTTGATTCTGAGCCAGGAATTCACTGGCCATTCCGAACATGGTTTATAAACAAATATAACAGATACAACTACAAGTCATTACGCAAAATTATAGATTTTTTGGGATGATTTAATAAACACGGTTTGAGTCAGAGAAATCACTCGATTCGTTTGATTCTTGAAGTCGTATCAACTGGACGCTTTAGTGCTCGTTGGTTCTACTCCCGGATTCAACAGATGCTCATGATTTCTCCATTACGGAATTTGGTTGCCAAAATGTATACGGATTTATAGAATTTTAATTACTAACATGGCTCCCAGATTACCAATAACATAAGCATTACATTTTTTTTCTTTGATGTCAACACTACAAAGAAGATCTAATGCAACTACAGAGTACACTGTAACATTTTCAGGGAACTGTTTCTATCTCACCTCTGCTCTAAGGCTTTGCTGGAGTGAGAGGACCGAGTGTTGTTCCGCTTTGGAAGACGTCCTCTGTTTCCGATCCCAATGGATGGCCCTCGTCCTGTCCCTCCTCCAGACTCACTCTCATCATCGTCCTCATCATCATCCTCAGAGTCGTAGAAATGGAACAGCACTCCCATGAAATCTGTCTCCTGTAACAGAATACAACTGTCATCACAGTTCCAAAGCTTACAGGAGGAACCGCAAACTGTAATTGACATCTTGATGATCAATAATAATAATAATAATAGGCTATTTATATTGCACAACACACCACTCAGGGGAATGCTCAAAGCCCTATTATTACCCCGGTCACTGGATCAGTGTGCACTCAAGAATCATTCTCAGCTCCCTGGGGAGTATACAACCAAAGCCTGTTAGGCGCTACAATGTTAACAACCACACTGCCATCTCATCCTACCGGGTACCTATTCACTGCTGGGTGAACAGAGGAACATTTGAAAAAAGTCACTTGCAGAAGGAGACGTCACACACGTTGCATGTGCTTCAGTGAGGGGCAGGACCAAAGCCCTAGAAACTTTCAGGAGCCAAGCTGCCAAGACGCAGTCACCCATCCAAGGACTCTCCGCGACCAACGTGCGCTTTGTGCTGTGCACAGGACCACATGCCTCCACTATGCAGTGCCGCAGTATCAAAGGGGCCTCCCTGATCATTTGTCAATAGTTATAAGGAGGCTCTTACATCGTGTATACTTTGTTACCATTTACATCACAGAATAATGGAATACAACATGAATCTGGATATTCATGATAATACGAGATGATTGTATGTGGAACAGCCAATTCCCTATACATCCTCCACAGAGAGATCCCTCAGAGTAGCTGGCAAAGGTGGTGTTCGTTCATCAAGAACATCCTTTGATGACACCCGCCACTGAGCAAGGGCCCTGATTTCATGTGGATTATGTGCCTGAGGATGATCAAATCCTGCATGTTGATATACTTCTTAGAATTGTCGCCCTAAGACAGAAAGTCACGATGTTCTTTGTGACCATTTACTCTTATACAGCAGGGAAAGAACATGCTCTTGCTCTGCTTCCTGACGGACCCCGTTACTTCCATGTAACGTCTTAGTGCTGGACCTAGACTGGAGATCAGCAGTGTCATCATGCCCAACCAAATACAGAAGACAATGGTCATCTTGTGAAAATTCTTCTTCCTCCAGATGTTGGTGACTGGCAATACCAAACCCCACATGGGGTTCATGTCAACTTTGGCATCTGGTCCCCTGTGAAACATCATCGGGGTTACATCCAAAGATTTGATTTTCCAAATATGAACTGCTGTAGTCAAGGCTCTTCTGTGAATTACTTTGCTCTGCAGGTTCATACTGTGATACCAAATGCACAACCCCTAGGTCCCAGGCCGCAGGTCTGAAGTGGTTTTTCTGATCTTCTAAAATTCCTTGGCATGACTGATGATCTTCCTGGACCTAAAGTCTGCTAGGGCTGAGTTGATGGCTGCAGTGTCCCTATGGTACCATCAAGAGCTTCTTGGCTGTTTGAGGGGAGAACAAGTAGTCCACTACCTATTGAGGTGTCCCCTTCTGGAGATCCATTCTGTCTTAAAAGCCATGAAAATTCTAGAGGAATTTCTGCGTGCCCTCACAATGGCCTGTGCTGATCTGTCAGAGAAGAGCCAATGATCTTGGGGCTGGATGTGCTCTTTCTTGAGTGGATTAATGTGTAGCATTTCCCTAGGTCAAAGTTCCATGACTATGTTTCATGGAATCCTTTTAGTTCTGGAAAAGTCTTCTGGTCAGTAAGGTGCTTCCAGAAACAATTGGATCTCCCTTGTCTCCTACATTATTAGAGTAGTGATGACCCATATATTTTTTATTAATTGTTGCAAGATTTACCAAAATGTTATTAGTCTGCCAAATACTGGGTAGTCTGTGGTTGGCTCAACTGGTGGTGGCAGAAATCAGTTAGTTGTCCAGGGTAAAGTGCGAGTCACCTTTGCCAATTGCTGGAGGACATGGACATGGAAAATTGAAAAAGTTTGTCCCTTGATCCTTCCCACTAAGCCCTGCTCCTCGACTTTGGGCACAAACACATTGAAGATCCTGGTTCTTGGGCTGATACTGACCATAGGACCGTTGTGAACAATTTGATGCTACCCTAATCTTCTGTAGAGGTCTGCCCAATTCTTTAATGTTGTAGGAGGGATATGAGAAGTGTCCCAGGAGGAGTATTCTTACAAGTCTACCTACTTCAGAGTGCACTTTAAATTCAGACTGCGAAATTCCCGAATCAGCTAAATAACACATCCAGGCCAAAGCAGCAAAGGCATCATCACAGATTCAGGAACTTGAACATCCTCTGAACTGGTGGTTGAGTAAGACTAGGAACAGACTCCCTCTATCTGGAAATAGAGCCATGAGCGTCTTGAGATTAGGGGGATCCAACCCAGAACATCTGCCACACATTCAGCTATTATCATGATCCAATGGTTCCACCCCCTTAGGACTGTATAGTAAACAAGGGTAGGGGCCGATCCCAGGATAACTGCCCATTCCAGGAGGAATGCCAGTCCCAAGTTGAGCGCGAGTCCTAAGTAGAACATCAGACAAGTGAACTGTGGATCCCACATAGAGGGTCGATTCCAGGCAAGACACTGGATCCAAGGCATACATCAGCACTTGTGCACCAGCCAGGAGGACTATCAGTTGGTGATCCAGGGCGAGATGAAGTGCTGGTGAAGGAGAATTCTGGTGATGATGAAATCAGGAGCACCAGCGCACTCATCAAAGGAGTGGAGTACTACACTCGACATACCGGGAATCAAGTGTAGTCAGTGTAGTCAACTTACCCAGATGACAAGTGAAGCATATAGCAGCATAGAAACACAATCATCCCTAACATGTGTCAGGCAAATTAGAAAATCAGAACAGAGGATAATTTAGAAATTTTGTTTTCCTAAAACACATAATAAGGCTGATGTTAAAGGATATAAAGGAAATTGCAAATCGTGTCAGGATAAGAACTAAACTATCCCTATTAATCATTATTCTACCATGAATATGGAATTTACTCGATTCTGATTGGTCAATCAGAGGCTATTAAATCACAATAAACCCCCTCTGATTGAAACAGCTGGTTTGACGGCCGCATCACCGCGGAAGCTTATATTCATAGAATAGTACTATTTTCAGTCATTGTCGGTAGGCTTGGAATTTTGGCGCTTTTCTATATACGACTATGACGTCATATTTTTTGTGTCACAATGAGCGATATGACGTCATAATGGTGACGCGCGATGTATAGCCTTGCAAAGCTTGCTTTGTTTTCTTTAGGGATGCCCACCTCATGTTAGCTTACCAAGTTGCCGTGCTTGCATGCCTTCAATGCCTGTCATATGTTCGAGTGAAGTATAACGGTGTAAACAAACTGCTTGAGTATATACAGCACCATATTTTGTTCGGTGATTCCGTAATTCAGATCGATAACCCACTAAAAACACTGAACTCAACCCATGCCGCTTCACTCAGTATATTTGCTAACACCAAAGAGTTCGCGTTTTATTTAGTAATGGTAGAATGGAGATAAACATACTGTGTTTTCAATGTAGAGCTAGGTTACCTGTAGATTTAACCGCGCTAAATTTAACATTTGAAACCTCACGCTGCGCGTTCGGTTCCAAATTCAATTTAGCGGGGTTAAATCTACAGGTAACCTAGCTCTACATTGAAAACACAGTATGTTTATCTCCTAATTATATGAATGTGTTATTAATTATTATCATATAATTGTGTTATTAATTATTGTTATATAATTGTGTTATTAATTATTATTATATAATTATGTAAGTAGACAAAACAATATCTTCAGGACAACACAGTGACTCTTCTAATGCAGACATGATCAACAGCTGTGCCAAACTATTACAGAATTAACTTAGTGAAACAGTTATGACATCTTTAATATCAACTCCTGACTTAAAGTACAAGTACATAATCTCCCAATCTGGTCGATAGTTATGATGAAAAAAGCAGCACATTTCAAAACCTGGCATAGCGGTGACGGGAACACTGTTCTAGTAAATGCTACTGAAACTACATGAAGTGGACAGTCATGCAGCTGTTTCTTGAAACCAATAGACAGGTATAATGTCTAACCTGTGTGGAGAGGAACTTCATGTAGTCGTCGCTGGTCACTGTACTCTTCCACCACTGAAGCCACGATGCGTATGTCCTGGCCATCTTGTCTGCCACCACACTGGGCATGTTCTCGGACGATGTCAGCGGCTGCGATGACTTGGACGGGTGGTTGCTGAAGGCAGCATGGATCTTCTCTGGGTTCGGAGTCTGATATATAGCAGATGATTACCAGTCTTTATAATGACATGATTACATCATTTGTAAAAGTACTCACATACAATGTTGATAATGCAAAGTAGATACAAATCGTGAATAATTTGATTTTTATGTCAGAATATATAGTTATGGTTACCATGGCTTATATGTAAGAGGCAACTACCGGGATCGGGTGGTCAGACTCGCTGACTTGGTTGATGCATGTCATCGGTCCCAATTGCGTGGATCGATGCTCATGATTTCAATCACTGGATTGTCTGGACGAGACTTGATTATTTACAGACTGCTGTCATATAGCTGGAATATTGCTGAGTGCGGCGTTAAACAACAAACAAACCATGGCTAAAATAGCCTCTCATTAACAATGTAGACAGAAAAATAAACAATCATGTTGTGACAATTACTGGTAATATTTGTACATTATTTGAGAAGATGTGCACAATGCAGTCAGACATTCTCGTATTAAAACACTTACTAAAGGTGTAAATGTGTTGTCTCCTTGCAAATTCTTTGGTGGGCTTGAAGGTCTGAAACAAGTGAACCGACATGACAAAGAGAGGTACTCCTGACTGTCTTCATCTTCCAAGCGTGTCCACTGGCCTCTATCAAACCCTAGTTTCTACCTTTGCCACATCAAGGCAACTTTTCTTGGCTCTATCGTGGCACCACCTAGTGTAGATCACAAGTTGTGTCCCTTGTAATGAAAACGCGATATCCAATCAAATTGCTGTTCTTATCTCACAAAGCTTCACAAAGATGGCAACTACCGTAGGCAACTACCGTAGGCAACTACCTAGTCGATCAGATAACAAAAACATTTACAATTTCATCCCTGACACAAAAACATAGGCAATCGTTGACGGGTTTAAAAGATGAAAAAGACATATTCGTGTCAACAAAGACTGGCAGCAGTTGATCACTTTCACACGAACATGTACCAGTCGTGGATGTTGACTTTGTGAAACAATCTCTGATCCGACTATCGGTATGTGGGATAGTCCAATCGTACTTAGCACAGGAAAGTGGGTTTGATGTGGCTAGGGTGGAAACAAGACTTTGATAATAAGGATAGTGGACGCTCTTGCCTCGGGAAGATGGACTGTCTTGATCAACTCAGAACTCACCCCTCACATAAGCATCACACTGAAAGTTTCCACAATGTAAGGGTAGTAGTCATGTTCTACTCACGTCCTTGCCCAGTTGCTGGCATCCATTTCTCCCCAGGGAGGGTCATGACCTTTCCGGAGTTGTGGGTTTATGACCCGCTCATTAGGCTTCTTGGCTAGCGTTGTTGACGCCATGGCACCGGCCAGGGAGATGTTCTCCGCTGCTGATATTATCATCGGGTCCTGTAAACATGAGAAAGTCAAAACATGCAATCTTCCAGCACAACAGGTAATATGTATTAAAAAACTTTTCTCTGTCAATAACAATCTCATTAAAATCAGATCTTAGTTCTCGCTATCACTAAACAAAGATCTGAGGACATCCCATTACGGGTCATGTCAGAATGACCTTTCATCTGACCAATGAAAGCGTCACTTACCAGATCATGAAAGTGACAGTCGGAATGTATTTTCTAATCATGCAACCTCGAAAATGTTAACACGGGGTATTCCGAATGACAGTTATGGCCCGTACGACTGATTCCGTCAAAATGATCGTCTATCTCTCGGTTCTGTGGGATAAGCATTTGAACGGAGGAGGTGTTGCACAGTACGTAGGAAGCACTGCCATACATTCTCAACCAGATATTAGACATTCCGGAATGTTCGTTTGTTCAGTTTTCAAAATATTAATCGAGAACTGTGTCATTATATTTTTCAAGCGTAGACAGAAATGGAAATCGCCAGGTTGAAACCAGTGCCGTAAAGCTCGAGAAAGCTGATGTCGCCTTCTTGTTAGTCATTTCAGTTGTCGGTCAAAGTTGGCAAAAGGTCGTCCTGACATGACCCATAATGGGATGTCCTCAGATCTTTGTTTAGTGGCAGCGAGAACTTAGATCTGATTTCAATGAGATTGTGTCAATCATGGCCTTTGATGGCAAGTATCACTGTAGATGATCACTTCTTCCTGTGTATTACTGAAGAGACACTATATTCACACAATCTGTTAGGAATGAGAGACAAATATTCTGTATTTTTTGGCATATTTCTGCTTTTAACATATTTTCTGCTTTAACCTTTTAGACAACCTACTGATATTGCTCCCCCCAAATATGATAAATGTTTTGTTCCCATCTGTTACAAGGGTTTGGTTAATATGCAGGTGCAGTCTCACATCGTCCAATTCGAGATGGTCCTGGGGAACCGTCTTCATGATTTCCCGGTAGACCTCCCGGATCTCATCTGACAGGAACAGGTTCTTGTCGAGACCCTTCACAGTAGCTGGATCCACCTGACACAGACACATAAACAGCAAGTTGTAGATAGATAGTGTTGTTATATAGAGTGTTGTATCTACTGTTGTTACAGCTAGTGTTGTTATATCTTATAATGATAACTAGTCCTTATAATGATAACATATAGCAAAACCCTTAAAAAGTTTGGCAAGGACTTAAGGACTAGTGCCAATATCTAATACTGGTTGTCATACCAAGTGTTGTTATATCCAGTGTTGTTATATCTAGTGTTGTTATATCAAATAGTGTTGTTATATCCAGTAGTTTGGTTATAAAGTGTTGTTATATCCAGTGTTGTTATATCCAGTGTTGTTATATCTAGTGTTGTTATATCAAATAGTGTTGTTATATCAAATAGTGTTGTTATATCAAGTGTTGTTATATCTAGTGTTGTTATATCTAGAGTTGTTATATCAAGTAGTGTTGTTATATCAAGTGTTTTTATATCTAAGGTTGTTATATCTAGCATTGTTATATCAAGTAGTGTTGTTATATCTAGTGTTGTTATAATAAGTGTTATTATATCAAGTGTTGTTACATCTAGTGTAGTTATATCCAGTGTGGTTATACTAAGTGTTGTTATATCCAGTGTTTTTATATCTAGTGTTGTTATATCTAGCGTTGTTATATCAAGTAGTGTTGTTATATCTAGTGTTGTTATATCCAGTGTTTGTATATCTAGTGTTGTTATATCTAGTGTTGTTATATCTAGTGTTGTTATATCCAGTGTTTGTATATCTAGTGTTGTTATATCTAGTGTTGTTATATCTAGTGTTGTTATATCTAGTGTTGTTATATCTAGTGTTGTTATATCTAGTGTTGTTATATCAAGTAGTGTTGTTATATCAAGTGTTGTTATACTAAGTGTTATTATATCAAGTATTGTTACATCTAGTGTTGTTGTATCTAGTGTAGTTATATCAAGTGTTGTTATATCAAGTGTTGTCATATCAAATGTTGTCACAGCAAGTGTTGTTATATCTAGTGTTGTTATATGACCTTATATCCTACTGTCCCTGTACAATACATGACACATTGTTGTGAGGGAGAGGGAACTGGGGTTTACAGTATTTCCACTGTCAGCAACCTGAAGGCAACAAGCCTGTTGCTGGGGCTCGTGTGTACTGCGAGGGCCTTAATGTGCTGAATTAGAATCAAGACTGCCTAGGATAGAATAGCATTTGAAAAACACTTCACAAAACATCAGCATTACATGTGTGAAAAGTGAAATTACCTTAAATCTTTCAAGAAATTATTTGACTTCAACAACAGCTTTCTCTTAGAAACACAAAACTTAGTACATCTTGAATACAGGAAACAATGGCGACAACAACATTCATTCAGCTGCTTACCTCTTCAATCAGGTCGTTGTAGACAGTGGCAAATCTGTTCAGGGTGATGGAGGACATGCATACCCGCTCTGACACACGGACGTCAGATGTACGCACAGTCAGCTGCAAATACAAACAATTACAAACAGCCATGAAAAATGAATCTATTTCTTCATTTCTGGAAATATTAAAGGAAATCATCTTTTAAATGATATTTTCCAAGCTTTAAATAATGTTTGGCATACTTTAACATCACATAAGTTCTGAAGACATCAAAGATCCGATTCCCAAAGCTATTTGCACTACAACTGTTATATCTCCTATACTTTAACATAGATGTAAGACAGCCACAGCTTTTACATGGTTAAGTGAAACAGGGCCTGTAGTTTAAACATGCTCCACACAACTGATACCTGGTTTGAGAGCTTGCTGCTCACTGTTGCAGGCTGGGGATGAGTAGGTTCTTCAACAGCAATGCTGGAACACAGACATCATGTACTGAATAAAAAGCACTCACCTGAAAAACATGTGTTACATTTCACCGCTTTCTCAAAGGCATTGTGTATTCATAGGTTTGGGCCATGGGAGCCGTGCCAGTTTACACATATCAGAGGGGTACACATAGATTGTCTGACTTCCATTTTGTGGAAGCCTCGGTGGCTGAGTGGGTGAGGTCACTGACTTTGTGTGCTGGTGATTTGGTGCCTTACTCTGAGAAGTGTGTGTTTGAATCCTGGATGAGACTCTCAAAATGTACTAGAATTTGTACTTTACTACGAAAGTGTTCTCCCAAATATAAGATATGTTATGTCATGTGTTACTTACAGATTTCCTGTACTTTGTGAATGTTCTTGCAAATATAGTACTGTCTGTAGGATACAAGGTTCTCCAGTGACAGATACACTGCAGTAAACCGACTGCACTTACTGTTCATCCTCTATCCTCTGTTGTTTCTTCTTCTCCAATTCCTTCAATTCTTCCTCCATCTTCTCCTTCAGGCCGTCATGACGAGCATTGCGGATAATAGCCTGCAGTCAGAAGCATAGTGCTCATGGATGTAGCCTCACATTGACATCATTTATAATGACTGAGAACTTGCTAATTGATGGAATTTTTAATAACAGAGCTGTCAATAATTCTTTTAAGATTCCCCAGTAATGGTGCAAGTCTGATGATCAGTGAAGACTGTGTGTGAGGTGTTGAGGGAGTCCAGCTGCTGTGACCAGCACTGACTGACCTGTAGGAGAGGTGGGAGCACTGACTGACCTGTAAGAGAGGCGGGAGATCTTCATCCACCTCCTGATTGGATTCATCCTTCCTGTCCACCAGCCTCCGCAGGTCTTCCGCAGCATACTCCCTCGAACCCATCTTCGGCTGGTCGTCCGACACCTTCTCCTGCACAAATGGCAAGCTACATGACAAACACAGCAGTAGGTGGATGGTTTACTTACTAGTGTGTGTATGCATGCGTGTGTGTGCGTGTGTGTGTGTGTGCGTGTGTGTGTATGCATGCGTGTGTGTGCATGTGTGTGTGTGTGTGTATGTGTTGTTGTTGTTCAATGCCACACTTAGCAATATTCCATCCATGACAGTGGACTGTACATAATCAAGTCTGGACCACTAGTGATTGATATTATGTGCAACAGTCCACCCCATCAAGGTATGTTGACACATCAAGTCACCAAGCCTGCCATCCCGATGCATTAAGTCTCCTCTCACAACCAGCAAAGGTTGCTAGGGACCAAGTCTAACCTGGAATATCCGCCGTTACTGGTCAGTGGGTGTAGTCAACAAACAAAACACTCAGAATTAAGAGTGTGCTGATCAAACATTTTATTCAAATTGATCTATCTAGACTCTCCACAAAGAGTGTGCATGTCAGAATAGGCAATTTCTTTGTGCATCCTTCTATGTCATGATCACCCTCATTCACCCAGGATAAACACACATCCCAAATATAACATTTGTTACATTTGACCACATTCTAAATCGCATTAGGTGCTCATAAACACACAGATAACAATATGAACTTAAATCAAGGATGCCTATAAACCCGAATCAATTACTAGCCTGACTAGAGATAACATGTAAGGACACCCCTAACATGCCTGACATTCAACTGACCATTGTGAACCTTTACCATGCAACAAACAAATTCTGGCACAAGGGCTAGTGACCATTTGCATATCTCTTCATAATGATACCAGGAAAACATGCATTTTCATCATCACCACTGCCTGGTAACATTTTTGTGGAGAACACATAGAAAATATTTGTGGTGCAAATCAGAACCAAATAGTCTTGGAAAACTTACGTAATATATAATGAAAATGAAGAGAATTTTTTCTGTATTGAATACTGCTTGAGTGAATGAAATGTGTGTATGTGACATTGAGGCCATGATGTGCTGTGTGTGATACAGGTGGAGGACAACATCATCTTACCTTGCCATGTCATCATCCTCTAGACAAGAAGGTGTAAACACCATGAGTATGTATAGTGATATGTCACACTTATCCGTTACCTCAATGTTCTGGCCAAACAGTATCTGCTTCAGTCAGTCAGAAATGATATTTTTTAATTTCAAAACCTCTGTTTTTTTATGATATTTTTGTTTTCCACCACGCTTAGCAATATTCCAGCTATAAGATGGCTGTAATCCTTTAAGTAGCCTCTCAAAACCAGCAAAGGCTGCTGGGGATCTATTTAACCTGCAATCCATATGGGAGTTATATTAGTGTGTTCTTTCTGCAGATTATGAAATCATATACATGTACTGCACTAATTCACGACCTCTGAAATAATGCCGCATAAACTGATCTACAGAAAGGACACACTATTGTAGACACATCATACTGCTCTGAGTAGGAAAATGACAATGACATCCATACATTTAAGAGTCAATGAAGATACAGTGAAAAGATGGTCATAACGAAACCAATTGTGATCCACCAGATGTAAATAGTTTGTTTGTTGTTTTATGCTGCACTCAGCAATGTTCCAGCTATATGAAGGCAGTCTGTAAATAATCGAGTCAGGACCAGACAATCCAGTGACAATCCACGCCGTCGCTGTACAATGACACGCACCGAGCTGACCACCCGAACCATTTAGTCAACTCTTAGGACAAGCATAGGTTGGGGGCCTAGCATCCTCCCAAGGCAAGGGAGTTAACTCACTATAGAAGTCCAGTTTCCACCCTTGCCCAACAAAGCCGGAATTCCGGAGTTACTGTTTCGCTGGACAAACGAGTCTATACATAGTCCAATCAAAATTGTGTAACATGTATGTCAAAATGTATGTCAACATGCAAAATTCCATGGACTGCAGGATTTGCAAAGCGTGTGTACTGTCAACTGGGCGTCGACAGATATTTTCCCAATTTTTTCATGTTTTTTATCAGGGTGCTCAAATGATTTGATGCAGTTTGCATCTTAGTCCAAGGTTGTACAGTATAGCCAGAGCAGTTGATCTACATCTACACATCATGATGTCACAAGTACCTTCGCCATGATCTCCCTCTCCCTGTGTAGGACGTCAAGCTCGTAGTGGTCAAACGGGTCGTCACGGACACGCTCGCTGATCTCCATCTCCTCCAGCAGCGTCTCGCCGTCATGGAGGTTGGGGTCAGATCTGCACCGCTGTAACGCACAACACAAACACAGTAGTTACAAATCACATCTTTTGGTGCCAAACACCTTCTCATTTTGTATAATTACGGTTTGCTGAATAATTTAATATTAAAATAGAATCCAAAAATACATCAGTTTCAACATTTCGCATCAATATATTTTTCACAATTTAATTTGTTAGAATATTACCTACACTCTGAAAATATTGTAACATTTGTATAATTGGAGTGAGTGAGAGAGTGAGTGAGTATGGTTTTACGCCGCTTTTAGCAATATTCCAGCAATATCACGGCGGCGGACACCAGAAATGGGCTTCACACATTGTACCCATGTCGGAATCGAACCTGGGTCTTTGGCATGATGAGCGAACGCTTTAACCACTAGGCTACCCGACCGCCCCTTGTATAATTGGAAAGTAGTAAGATAGATGATTGGATGGTTCTGGTTCTAGGATGATACAGATCAGAAAAATGCTGATCAGTATTCTTCACTTAGTACTGGAGCTGAAATTGTCTTACCTTCAACAACACTTTCTGTAAGGACGCCTCCTCTTTTAAGAAACTTCAGAGAAAAGATATAACATAATCAGGGATTGGTCATTTATCACAGGGGGTTTGGGCCAAAATAAACTGGATGATTCATAAGAAGAAACAAGTCAGTGTTTAGGGAAGGGTCACCAAAAATATAATTGAGCATTGGGGAGGGTCAAGTTAAAATTGGACACTTTTTTTCGCTATTTATGTTTTTTACTTTACTACATTTTGAGGAGGGTAAAAAAAAAATTTGACAACCTTTGGACAGGAACATCAGTTTTAACATTTTTCTACTCCCCCTAACCTAATAAATAACTAGTCTCATAGTCACATACTAACTTAACTTCTGAAACATTGTTTCATAATATCTTTTTCAGAAAATGAATGATTGAGACATTTCTTATAACAAACAAAATTCTTTGAATTTCACTATATCTTCATTATTCAACTGGAAAAATGCATAATTTAGTTATGTAATGTAAGATACATTGATATGATTAATAAATATTATTTTTAATGTCAATACTTATATTAATGTGAAAATTTTGTAAATAAAAGTAAAATAACAAAGAAACATCACATACCAAGATGTTTTTGATTCTCGCTCAGAAATTCTGCTTGCAAGAGATCGAGCATCTAAAAAGAAAATCATAACATTTTCAGAATACAGCAAAAGTAGAAAACATAATTTCTTGCATGCAAACAAAAACAAGCCATCACTATGCAGATTAGTCTTTTGTCGGTTGTCATGGATGGTGAACAAGGTGAGCCCAGATTGAACACTAGTACCTGACTTTAACATTATGTGAAACGCTGTCTGACATTCTCCTGTACAAAGACAGTACCTTCAGAGGCTGAGGCCATGGCCCTGTCGGGGAGCTGGGCCACCAGGTCCATCAGTTTGCTGGTGTCCAGGCTCGGCATGTTATTGGTCATCTGCAGGAACACATAAATCATACACTGGTCACCTTGTAGATGTCATGCTTGTTTCATGGACATACACCACCACATGTACAATCAGAACAGAGTTAAATGTCAAAACAAATTGATGATGGTTGATGCTTCAAAGGATTTCTAACAAAGGATTTTCTTTTTTAAAATACATATATATCGTTTTTGAGATACGAAATCAGATATCCTCAGATCAGAGAGTTAAAGTTGAAGATCAGATTCAAATGATTTGTTTGTTTGTTTGTTGTTTAACGCCACACTCAGCAATATTCCAGCAACATGACGACAATTGTTAAATAATCAAGTCTGGACCAGACAATCCAGTGATTGCTGTCATGAGCATTGATCCACGCAATTGGGATATGATGACATGCATCAACCAAATCAGTGAGTTTGACCTTTAGTAGTCACATCTTACGACAAGCTTAGTCGCCTCTCATGACAAGCATAGTCGTCTTTTACGACAAGCATGGGTTCCTGAAGAATTATTTTCTACCCTGGGTCTTCATGGGTCAGAGAGACTGATTCAAACTCTGAACTCAGTTATCAATCCCCACTGCCTAAAGATTATTGTGTTCTGACAAATGTGTGGCAAAAACTACCATGACCTCTCGAGTCTTTAACACAGACAACATTAAACTACTCTAGCTCCTGGACTTATAAAACTGGTATGTACAGAACCCACCTCTCTCACATCATGGTCCAGTGTTCTCATCCTGTACTTCTTCACCTTGGACTTGGGCCGACTTGTTTGTATCTGACAGAAACACAGGCAAATGTTGGAATCTTAACTCAACATTAACCTAGAATGTATTTTTAACTCATACAGAAATATTTAAAGGTGAAAGATAAGGCGAAAAAAAATAATAGTCTTGGTTCTCAGGCACTGCCCACATCATCATAAAGTTCAATGCACATTTTGTTTTTATTTAATCATCCAATCTATTCTTCACAAGGACTGACGTTGTGAAGTTATTTCTCTGGATAATCTGAAGATATCCTTCAGCATCCATTACGTGTATCTTCACATGTATAGAGTGAACATAACTGTCCACATGTTCCAATATATGTTAATCAATCATGACAGATGGATAACAGTGTTGATGTTTCCAAGGGGCAGGAAGTATGGTGGAGAGGCCTGGTTAAACCCATACTGATGGTTGTCAGTAAAGTCCATGACAAGAACTCAAACTCACACCTTCTGTTTGTTGATCAAAGGGAGATAACTTACCAGATCATCATTGCAATGATTCTATACAGTCCCCTCTCGCTATTGCGCTCTTTAATATAGCGCTTATTCGGTTATAGCGCGTGGTAAAGAACGGCTCCAAAAATTTACTAACATTTTCAATGACTTCAAGTTCTCCAATGACACGGTATTTTTCCCCATCTCAGAAGATATTATCAGCTGATCACCGCGATCATGTAACACCAGAAATACCAGTCAACAAATACGAACTGAAGTACACAATTTAATCCTATTATTTTAATATCTGGTTATAAAAAAAATTTCATTATTTATCTGGACTAATGTTTGCAATATATTTTATTAATACTCATATTTATATGCATATTAATACTATTTTTACATTATGAATCATAAACAACTTCTTAAACTCTGAAACGTGCAACGCAGATCGTGTTAGGTAGGCCAAGCATGTAAACTGTTTTGTTGGTCATCTACCACCTACGACTCAACCTTGGTTAAACCGGTGATCATCTATAACGCTCATCAATTATTTGGACCCCGAAGGTTGCGTTGTAGCGAGGGATCAATGTACCACTAAACTCTGCATATATAGTTGACTCTATAGCCTTACCAGTCCTTCATATGAGAGTTGTGCAAATCCACCCACAGCCGGTTTAGCCTTGGTGGGATGAGAAGGGAAGAAGTCCTCTGAAGCAGCAGAGTCAGTTTCACCTTGACCTCTCATGTCAGCAACGATGTAGCGCCGGATTGTCAGGATGGTCAAACTGTATATACAGATCAAAATGATAACTACATCTTACTGAAACCCCAAATACTAATCTATGAGTCATCAAACTATCACAAACTCTTATAATACTGAAGGGGCACGAGTGGGCCAGTTGTCTAAGGTGTTAAACTTTTCTGTGCAGAGTTGCCTCCCTTGGGCACACAGAAACCTATGATTGTCGGGTCGAATCCTGGTTTGCCTTGATTATGTTTCTAGGTTAGTCAGCACAATACCCATGCTTGTGGGTTTCACCAAAGCGGTAAATGTCAGAGAACTGCATCACTTCGGGCTTTTCTCCCACATTAAGCTGGCACGCCGTGATATAACTGGAATACTGTTCAAGCAGCGCTAAACCCAACTCACTCATTATTTTACTGAAATTTGACATTTACACTTTCATAATTCAATCTTACTCAAGTAATGAAATACCTGTGTGAACTGAAAGAGCAGATTGTGTAATATTTCTGCAACTTACAATTTGCTTGCTTCTAGGGCTAGCTGGGCCTTGAGTCGACTCATGTTGGCAGGCCCACTGAATACACCTCTGCTGTTTAAAACTGAAACAGCAGATTCAATCTAATGATCACATAGAAAGATCAAAGTATATAAACATAGTGTGGAAAAGGAAACAAGTTCTGTGACTTTTCGGACATCTCGAATATTGTATCTTAACACAAGATGTCAACTTCCTTTACAGTTTTGCCTGCACATGGTATGTATCAACTCAGAATGTCGACATGTGTACATGAGAAATGTGTTCACCCTGAGCTTTGTCCAGATAATGAGAGAAGAGCTGTTCACAGACAGTCACGATGTACACAGCGATACGCCGGTTCAACTCCTTGTTCTCCTCAGGACTCTAGACAGAGAATGAAAAAGTCTGTCATCAGTTCAATGTTTGGATACAACATATGGTTTGGAAAACATTCAATCTCTTCCCAAAACAAATACTAAATATAAAAATTCCATAATTTTACCCAATGATAAAGGTTTGTAAAGAAAAATCCAAGTAGTTCAAGTGAAACAATAAATAACAAGGGCAAAATGAAGCATAAGTGTTAACAAGGAAACATGTAGTTATTCCAGTGATAACAATTCTATTGGCTAATATCTATTCAAAGTTGCTTAAGTCAAATTTTATGTATGGTAACATCTCCCCATAACATTTTCTTTATTTAAAAAAAATAGAATTGTGTAAGAACACCCCCAACCCCCAATCTCACCAGCCCACCCCCTCCTATAATAAATGAGCTGTCTGTTATGCAGATGACATTAATTACATTGTCCTACTCTCACACATCTTGCTGAGGCAAGAGAGTTAACTGACTTTAAAAGTCCAGTTTCCACCCTCTCGTATTACTTGCATTTGCTTCAAACAAAACAGCGGCACCCAGTCAAGACAATCTGATCGATAATCAAGGTATATATTGTGATAAAATGGGTCTTACATCGCGAAATGCATCAAATCACGTGAGCACCTTGATTAATAACATGAAAAGATTTGGAAAATATAAGTTGACAATGAGTTGGCGGTGCACATGCTTCGCAAATCCTGAAATCGACAGAAATCTGCAGGATGGTTTACTAACCAGATTTCGATTTTGTTGCGCAATTTTGATTGGGCTATGCATAGACTTGTTAGTCCAGCCAAAATGTAACTCCATAATACCAGCTTATTTCGGCAAGGGTGGGTGGAAACTGGACCTTTATAGTCAGTTAACTCCCTTGCCCCGGGAAGATCACTCTCACACACAGCCTGATCAAGTCATCTCTGGCCTCCAAAAAATCTTGAAAATTACTCTGTACATAACCACTTGTACATGTAAATCTCCATGATACTGCTGAACATACCAGAAATGGGTCATCAATCTGTTTCCTGATGTCTGGCCAGATCAAGTTCACCTCGCCCATGATGATGCCAGCCTGAAATATAAGATATGCTTGATTATATGCTTTAAAAACAGAATTTTGTAAATATTACATTGACTTGTATATTTATGATACTTATCCTATCTCACAATATACATTTCTCATTCTTTCGATCCTATGTGCACATGTGCATGAACAAAAGTTTCCAGTTTCTAAAAACAATTACCCGAACACATCCCAGTATCCCCATGGTTACTACCAAATATATGGGTCACGCACTGTAATGCTGTGCATCACGACCTACAGGACCTGATCACCTGACCAAACATTCTGCATCAATCTCTTTCTTGGAGCTGACAGGCTAGAGGAGCTGTGATGCAGGGATGGTCAGGAGGGCATATAGCGTTTGAGATAGGAGAAGTACTATGAATACACAATCTAATGTAACATTTACCCATTTTCAATTGAACAGTACACGGGCATGATGTCCTTGACAACCTCGTCCTCTGCTATGAAAAGAACGAGTCCTAACTCCAGTGACCTAACGGAGATCAAGCTGTGAAAGACGAATTGTGGTCGATGGTGGTATTTCTTCTATAGGTCCTCCAAGTGCTGTTTCTAAAGTTTAAGTAGATCTACAGACATCTGGAGATGTTTGTCCCGAGGAACATCCTGGGATACTTCCTGGATCCTGTTGGCAAACAGAAAGCAAAAGGACCATGGTAGTCGGTATACCTTTGCCTTGAAGTAATTGACTCACTGATAGTACTAGAGATCACAATGGCAACAGAGAGATGTAATGGAACCAGTATGGTGCGAGATGAGGTCCATGATACCCATAAACTTTTCATGAATCAGGGCAATGGAACCTTGATTAAAAGCTTCTTCAGAGGAGATGGCGTGATATACAGATGCACCACTGGCTTCAGTGGCTGACAATATGGTTGAGATAGTGGTATCCAAGTGAGGGGGGTCTCGATCATCTACAGTAGATGTAATAACAGAACGCTTTGGGCAGAGTGTTGAAATATCCCATCTAGTTCAGGCGCCACTCCGATGTTGACTTGAGTGCAACTGTTTCCTGGGACGAAGTGGTCAGGTAGGTGGTAATTAGTACATCCAGAGGTTTTGGCAGACACGTCATTATTAAAAAAAACTGTCAGAGACGCCATCATCCTCGACCAACAATGAAGGTACGCTAGACGCAGGTGGATTCACAGGCGTAACAGTGGAGGGGACAGTGGGTTTGGTGACACATTTGGGCTTCTTAGTAGAGGAGGCCAATGCTCAGCATCCCACGATTTAGGCCGCCAGTCAATTAGAAGCTTCTGACACTTGCATAGGTATAGACAAAAGGCTTCCTCCAAGATGTGGGAACATTCAGAACACTTATGGTCTAGAAAGCAACCAACAGCAACAACAGTCACAGCACAAATCATGTGGATCAGGTGTATAGAAAATATGTCTGCCAAACGTTTATTGTGTCTGTTCCCATTCTTTCCAAATAGTGTTGTGGATGTTATCACGAGGAAGGTCACTCCAAATAAAAATAAGGAATTCTCTGACTCAGTACACATCTCCACGGAGTGGCGATAGGAAAGAGAATGATGTGGCAGGGGCAATCAGTTGATCAGGTCCTGTAGGTCGTTATGCATGGCATTGCAGTGCATGACCCATTTGTTTGGGTGGTGACCATAGTGATGCTGAGATGTTGAGATGTGTCCGGGTGAATTGTTTTTAGAAGCTGGAAACTTTTGTTCAAGCAAGTGTTCATCTAGGATCGAAAGAAGAAGGAGAAATGTATAGGTATAGTGTGAGATGGGATAAGCTTAAAAAAAATTATCATTAAGTTACACATAAACCTAAAATAAGTGTCAAAACCATTTGAGCCTTGAAATCTCTTTCAGGAATATTTTCTGTAGAATTTAATCGTCAACTAGGGTTCCTTATTAGCTGACCTATCTAGATAAAAAAAGGAAGTCACGGACTGATAAAGAATCTCATTTGCCAAAAACACATCAAGGGAGATAACTCAAACTTATAATTACGTTTCATTAATTCACATACAGTGACGAATCCAATATGTTTTCTGGGGGCACAATAAACTTGGACATCTAAGTTTGGTCCATTGGGCACGCCAGAGACCTATGTTCAGTTCGCCCACATTATGTTTCTAGATCTGTCTGCACCAAACCTGTGTTCATGAGTTTCACCTTAGTGGTAAACATCTGTGTCCTGCATCCCTTCAGGTTCCTCCCAAATCAAGCTGACACGCTGTGATATTATTGGAATAGTGTTCAAAGTGGCTTTAAACCCATCTAACTCACTGATATGTTTTCTCTCCCAAACTACACTATTATGGCAAAAAAATGAACTACATTAGGAAATCAGGTTCAACAACCAACCACAGGACGCAGGAATGGAATGATTATTTACTAAGATTGTTCCCTACCAGATTCTGTTGATCTTCTATGGAGAGGAAAGGGACATCAGGTCGGGCTGCAATCCGACGCCTCACAAACTTTGTGAGCTGGTCCAGGGATGATGGCTGACTCTTGATCTCTTTCTGTAAGTCAACAGAAAAGTACTGATATGCTCAAACAGAAAGGGAACACTTTTATTTTCTCACAAAATGACTTAATAAAATATACAAGAATACCTACATCAATGGGAGTGACTGGACGCTCTAATTCAAGTTCCACATGTTCTGGTTCTAGAAACAAAAGATAAAAATAATTCATATTACACTTGTTTTATTTTCTACACATAAAATATTTGTTGTTATATTCATCAGATGGAAAATACCAATCAAACAAAAAGAAAATCACATCGTTAATGTATATATATTATGTAAATGAGAATATGAACAATTCTGCCTACCATCCTCATGTGGAAATGGAGCAAATATAGACAGCGGGCCAAGCACACCATCAATACGATTCTCAACATCATTCTGAAATGGTAAAAGTAATGGTTTACATGTCATTCAAGAAAACACTAAAAGCAAGCTCTTCTCTTTTGAGGGGCGGTGGGGTAGCCTCATGGTTAAAGCGTTTACTCATCACACCGAAGACACGGGTTCGATTCCCCACATGGGAACAATGTGTGAAGCCCATTTCTGGTGTCCCCCATCGTGATATTGCTGGAATATTGCTAAAAGCAGCATACTCACTCATTCACCTCTATTTTGAAGCTGCAACTTATTGTTCAGTATGCTACAAAAACGGTTGAGGGGTGGTGATTACATCTCCCCTTAATCAGTATGAAATCCGAGGAAGTACTTCTTTAATTAAAAAAAATATGTTTTTGAAACTGAGAGTAGTGGAAATGAATGAACCCATACTCAAGCTGTTTCATCAATATGAACGAAACACTTAATTCTTCTTCACAACTTTGTGCTTAAAGCCTTTTCTTTCAGCAATTTCAAGATACAATATTTCCGAATATTGGGCATGTGTTTGGACAATTTCCAAGGGATGGCTTAAAACAATGTCCCTACTATTGATAAGGCCACCAGTGGCAGAGATGTGTACTGTTGGTTTACATCTGCAGGACTATGAACATCCCTTTGCATCTCAACCGCAATCAAATAAACGATATCCAGGGATTTGAAAAACCTAGAGGGATAATTAGATGACTGTGAAATAATGAAAAGAAAGGTTGTTTGAAATAACCAATTGGGCAACAGAGCCAGTAATATTCAAGATCCATCCTAGAAAATGGTGAAACTTACATTATCATATGGTGGCCATCTCATGGGATACATCGCATCATGTTTCTCAGGTTTGACAACTCTGACAGGCTGGTATTTGGGGGTGCGGATCTTTGACTCCCGCATAAACCCCTGGAAGCTTGATGTGTTCTTGGCCTCTGTACTCATGATGAGATTTGTAATCTGCTACAGAGGTATTCCTGATGAAGTCTTTGACATGACTCTGACCTGAAACAAAAACAAGCATAAATGAATACTTTCAATGTCTGATGTGTGACAAACACATATAATACTGGTACTTCCATTGTCTTGTGGGAATAGTGCTCAGTGATAACACATTGTGAGAATCTAACTTGAAGACATTTCTTTGTACCTGGCACTATTCAGTTAGAAAAACAGATTCTTTGCTGACATTTAACTACTTGTTTCATACAAACAATGTATGCATGAAACCTAGCATACATTATTGCCTGTATAAACAAGGACTTACGTGGGTCTCTATATGTTAGTCCTAGGGACTCTCTAGAATAATTTTGAGTCCCCAGGTATATAAATGGGACTTCTAGGTTGACCGCTGTGACCATCTTGATATATACAGGCTGGCGACATACTGGCATCAGATTTCAAAGAATTATACTGGCGTCAAATTACTGAAAAGATGCAGCCATGCATTATATCTAGCTGTTAAAGAGTGTGATCTCCATGTTTCAAATGAAACTTTGTGATTAAGTGAGAAAATAAGAAATGAACAGTCTGAACTTTGTTTCTGCAGTGTATTTCTTATCAGAAAAGTAAAATGTGCATGCCACCTTCAGCACATCCATTCATAACTTGTATGTGTTGGTAAAATCCTGCACAGTATTAAAGGAAAGGTAAAACCACAGACAAAATATAATCCATACTAAATTTTGTCATTGTATGTTACTGCCGATGGAACAGTTAAATCGTAATGGCATGACTAAAATAAGTTCCCACTCTTTTTGAAATCATTAATCAAATACTTTTTGACAATATTATATTCATGAAAGCACATGAAAATGTGAACATGCTTAATGCACAGTATGAGTCACAAAATAACACTGGGTACCACAAATAAAAAATATCAATGAAAAGGAAGGGACAAAATTACAACTGCAGATTATCTAGCCCAGTGAAATTCCTCAAGTTTGATAATAAGATGAAAAATATTATCCTATTTGGTTCACTTTAAATGAAAAAAGACATGCCTAATTTAAATTATCACCTTAATTAGAGCCCTGTTGCATACTTGAAAAAAACAAACATTTTTTTCCATGAACTATAAGTCCCAGAATATAAATGAAGGTTAGTAATATTTCCTTATATGAGATGAACAAACAACATAAGTAATATTCATTATGAATTGATATCATCACACTGTCTTATGTGAAATATTGTCTGCATGACCAAAGATGTTAACCCAGTCAGTAAGCTGATGAGTATATGGATGCTATGCTCTACTACACCACCCTCAACAAGACCTGTTGAAGTGTCTTCTAACTGTTGTGTGAGTCCATGGAGAATAGGGACGTTCTTGCTGCAATTTCAGATTTTCAGAAATGGCCTGGCCTTCTGACCAATAGACAGTTCATAAATTACAATCAATTCTTGAATAATATGTACATCATCTGTCATACTAACCTTAAAACGCACCTGCCTATATAAAACACATCAGCTAATAACAAGGCTTTGTTATTTATATTCTAGAACATGAGTCTGACATCCTGATACAATATTGACAAATATTTCGACGCAAAGTTAATATTTCTTCAGTGGTGGAAGACATTGTTAATGACACTTGTATATATACGACATATATCAAACAGAAACATGCAGATTCAGAAGCTGCAATGAACGATGTCGGCCATGACAGTTTATCTTCACGACGGTCGAGTCAACATAAATCTTTTCACAAAGCTATATCGACTCACGTTTGTGACCAAAACTTCACTTAAATCCAACATTGTAGTATAGTTTCCACAGCAATCAAGTTTAGTAATCGGGACATTTCCAGCTGATGTAAAATAAAGCCTGTTTTTCTTTTGTTGCTATGCAGAAACCTGCTTCCGGTTTCTCATATAGGGTTGTTTACAAGTATAGCATCGATATTCTTACGGACACAAACTTCACGCATAAATTTCAATCAAAGACATACACCTTTATATGCTAGCTGTACACAATTGACAATAATAACATGATATTTACGGCTAGGAATATGTGTAATTACTGTACCAATTGCATTCAAAATCTATCAAAGACATTCATAATTCGTTTTAAATTCATTACGGCTTCAGTATAAATAGGTGGCCAAACTCGTGTCGGAAAGACGGGACAGGATAGATTACAATTAATACTTTAAGATGGACGGTTTGTACATTTTAAACAATACTGTCTGTTACATTAAAACCTTGGCCAGACTATAAATATTAAAGTGACAGTCAAGTTTGACTTGAAATAGTAAAATGACCAATGTCCTGCAGATCGGTTTCCGGATATTAAAACCCGGAAAATACAAAAAAAACAGCTGGTGAATGTTCAACTATATATGTATGAACATGTGATCGGTTCAAATCAACATTAATGCAAAGAGATAATTCTTTATTCTATATAAAAAACAACAACATAAAAAGTGAGACAGTCACAATCTTCAAACTACATGACTGAAAAGGCAAGACTATAGGCCTGATGTTTTATCAGTGTTTAGCCTATGGAATCTTTCATCATGTATATCGGTGGAAGTTGGGCAGGCTCATAAATATACCTGGGTTTCCCACATTGGCATGGTTTGTTATTTGTTATTCCATGTCTTCATGATTGCGTGAATACAGTTGGTGGTTTAACAAAAAATAAAATTAAGAAGTCTACCTGCCAGACAGGTTTGAAAATAACTGCAATCGGAGCCACAACATTATATTTGTTAGATCAAGACCTGACTATTGGATAATGGTGTTTGCCATTCATTTTCATACTATGTCCTACTAAATTGTACAGTTGTATCACTTTATATTAGTTTCTAATCTCACAGTATTGTTATGCACTAGTTCTTCTATGAATCTTTAGTTTTTATGAAGGGGCGGTTGTGTAGCCAAGTGGTTACAGCGTTCTCATCATGCCGAAGACCCAGGTTCCATACCTGACATGGGTTCGATGTGTGAACATTTCTGGTGTTCCCCACCGTGATATTGCTGGAATATTGCTAAAAGCGGCGTAAAACCACACTCACTAACTCACTCACTCACTCACTCACTCACTCACTCACTCAATAGTGTTTATGAAAAAGTAATATTATTGTGGCCATGGTGATGTACAGCAAAAAAAATCCTTATTTATGTTTCAGATTTATGGCACATGAAGCCTATTGGTCACATGACTTCTGTGTTTCACCACAAGAACGGCACACCGCGTCAACCAGCCATCTGTGCACATGCCCAAGGCAGTATTACAATTGAGAAGGCTGTTTTTAACAACCCTGAACACTCTTTAGAAGACCTGGATAATTTCTCTCATGTGTGGTAAACTCACAATTAACATAATTATCAATACTTTTCTTAACTGTTTTATAACATCAACTTAATAGTAGTAGTAAATTTGTACTTGTCCCAGCCCACTCACACACACACACTCACACACACACACACACACACACACACACACTCACACACACACACACACACACACACACACACACACACACACACACACACACACACACACACACACACACACACACACACACAAAATCAGATACCCCAATGGTTTCTATGGCCTTGACACTATTTTTTTAGAGTTCAATCAAGGCAGGGATCTCTCACAAATTCTATTATTCATCACAGACACAAGAAGTACTGGTTTTCTGTAATCAGTGAGTAAGGATGTGTTTCTTTGTCCTCTTTAATTGTTCTTGGTTTTCAGGAAAAAACAAACAACATTGTTAGATTCAGAATGAGCTAGAAATGTTTGGGTAAAGCAAACATGAACTTGTCTGCAGTATGAACTTTAACTTTTTTTCAGGATCATGTTTCTCTTCCATAAAAACAACAACGCCCACACCAAGGCCAAGGTGAAACCCCCCAGGCTGGATGGAAGGAGGGTGGGGGTGTTCTCCACCAGGTCTCCCTACAGACCAAATGCTATTGGCCTCACCCTTGCAGCCGTGGACAAAATACAAGGTAAAAGTACCTCATACACGATGGGGCCTTCAGAATTGTCGGTCCATGATAGAAATAATTATCCTGCTGTGTTGAAAATACAGAAAGTAAATTTAGTTTTATTTATTGTTGCAATGCTTTAGATCCTTTGGGATCTTAGGAGTAAATTATGTCACTGTCAGACCCATTTGCATGAACTTTTACAAACAGTGTAAAGGTTGGACAAAACCCAAAAGAATAGTGAGTGAGTGAGTGAGTTTGGTTTTATGCCGCTTTTAGCAATATTCGAGCAATATCACGGCGGGTGACACCAGAAATGGGCTTCACACATTGTACCAATGTCGGGAATCGAACCCGGGTCTTCGCCGTGATGAGCGAACACTTTAACCACGAGGCTACCCGACCGCACCCCAAAAGAAATAATAAATCTGTGTTCGTGCAGTTGTTTTTGTTGGTAGTTCTGGTATCTCCGGTCATGCTGTAACTGTCCATGTGCAGGTACACTATCAATTCCACATTATTTTGATGTTATCTCAGACTGCCTCTGTGGTCTGGAGGTAGAGCGTCTGCCCGGAGAGCGGAAGGTCCGGGATTCGATCCCCGGCTGCGTCATACCAAAAGACGTTAAAAGATGGTACTTGTTGTTACCCTGTCTGGCGCTCGGCATTAAGGGGCTAAAACAAGGACTGGTCATTGGCTCGGAGTCAGTATACTGTGTCTGAGTGGGGTATTCTTGTTATTCTGCGGCATGGTATCTCAGTGGTCGAGCATTATAAATCAGCATCAGTCCAAACTAGTACAAGCAGCCACACACACACGTGCATGCACATCACTATATAAGTGCAATGATCTTGGACCCAACGTAAAAACCAATTTCACCTCACCTCACCTCGATGTCATCTCAGTAGGTGATGATCTTAAGAAACAATTGTTAGGGTCTCTCGCTCTCTCTTGGTCACTTTGTGCACTTAGACAGTTGGAGATTTGATGGCTTGTCTTTCAAATCCACATTTGTAACACCTCAACCATAAGCTTGGCATAGAAGTGGTTAATGAGTTTGATGTACTGTCTGCAGGTGCCACCATATATCTGAAAGGTATTGACATCCTAGATGGGACCCCGATCCTGGACATCAAGCCATACATCCCGGACTACGACATTCCAGTTACCATGGTTACAAAATCACAACAATGTGATGAGACAGAATCACAAAGTCTTGGCCAGACTGACAATTCACTTGAAGAGGATAACAGCGTTGCCAACACCATCAGACATCCACGTTTTTTACAGCAATCCACAAGTCTGGAAACTGGAGGGAATCTGCCAAGTTGTTCAGAAGTTGACTTTAAAGAAACTGATAATAATGATACAAGTGGTACAGTGCTCTCTAAAAGTCATCAAAGTCCTAAATCTGAAAATAGTTTCATGATAGATGAAAATATGACAAACTGTAAACGTAAACAAAAGATGAAAGAGAAGCTTGATGATGAAGGGGAGGTAACTCCTGACGCCTTGTCATCCTGTCTCCCTACAGGATCAACTGAAACACATGGTGATCCCACTACTGACGTGAAGACTGCAGACTGGATCAGTAATGTCAGGAAACTGAGAGTGCGGTTTACACCAACTGCAGCTGAACAGCTTCAGATGTTTTCAGCTAACAGCCCTGACTCCAGCTACAGACTGAATCTGTTCAGCTGTGTCGGGGATGTTGAAGCTGCTGTACAGGAGGTGCTGAATGAAGACCCTCGGTCTGTGTACCGGAGACAGAAGTGCAAGGACAGTCTGTACTTCTTCGCTATAGACACAGTACATGTCACATGCTGGTTTGATGAAGTCACTGCTGAGGTTGTCCGCATACAGCCAGTCGCATTTGTTCCACAGTGTTCCTGACAGATTTGTGAAATAATGAATGCGTGTTTCTCCAGGCTGTTGCACCTATTATAGTGCTAGCTCACTGAGATACCATGCCTCAGTGTAACATGGATACCCCACTTAGACACTGTATACTAACTCCCAGCCGACCAGTCCTTGTTTTAGCCCTTCAGTGCCGAGCGCCAGCAGGGTAACAGTACAATCTTTTAACTTCTTTTGGTATGACCCGGCCGAGATTATAGCTTTTTAGACCAGGCGGATGGTTCTCATATATATAGGCTATCAGTCTGTGGTTTCCTATGTCCAACCCTGATCATTTAAGAACTGCTAGGGAATCACGGGTGGACCGGTCGTTATGCAGAGTTGCGTCCCTTGGGTACGCCAGAAATCTATGATTGTGGGTTCGAATCCCGGTTCGCCCCGATTATGTTTTTAGGTATGTCAGCACCATACCCGTGCTCGTGGGTTTAACCGAAGTGGTAAACGTCTGAGACCTGCATTACTTCGGGCTTTCTCCCACATCAAGCGGACACGCCGTGATATAACTGGAATACTGTTAAAAGCGGCGTTAAACCAAACTCACTCACACACTCACTAAGAACTGCTAGGGTGTAGATGTAGGCGACCAACATGTAAACCAACACCCAATCGCTCATTTGTCATGTACACTGTCCTGAGAGCGGAAGGACCGGGGTTGGGTCCCCGGCCGGGTCATACCAAAATACGTTAAAAGATGGTACTTGTTGTTACCCTGTCTGGCGTTGGGCATTAAGCTCGGAGTCAGTATACTGTGTCTGACTGGGGTATTCGTGTTCAACTGCGGCATGGTATCTCAGTGGGCTGGCACTATAAATCGGTATCAGGACTAGTACAAACAGCCACACACGCACGCACACACATGCATGCATGTCGCTATATAACTGCAGTAATCTTTAACGCGACGTTAAACCCTATTTCACCTCACCTCATTTGTCATGTTTTTACCATTGTTTTGCTTGCTGGAAGAAGGCTTTATACACGAAGCAGACTCCCTCGACGTATCTGCCATTCTGGCAGAGACCATAAATCGGTATAAGGTCTCTGCCGGCGGCATCAAACCCCATGGACGTCCCAGACCCCCGCCTAGGGGATGGTGTGATATTGGTGGTGTGGCATATTCTTGAACTACAACCTACAGATGGACTTGTCGGCAATTAACCCCATTCCTACTCTGTTCCCAGCAGAAAGAAAGACAGTTGGTCATTTGGTTAAATCTGGCACTAATTGGTTACGCTTGCAATAATCGCCCCAGAAACCAGGCCACGTGGCCGTATGTCCAAACCCTGTGCCCGGGATGACTAATAGACAGATTCCCGGTCCCACACACGCCACTAATTATATGGCCTGGACCGAGTCTGGCCGCCAGATTCTCTAATGCCTGATATCCCTTCCCAGCTACCAACTAATACCTCAATCACTTAAAAGAAAAGCCGAAAACTTGAAACATTCATCAATTTATTAACACTATTTCCTTAGGCTAAAGATAAGATATATTATTGAAGAGCGAGTGTGTGTGTTCTGGTGGTCCGACTCGGCAACTTAGTTGCTAGCACGTCTTCCTACCCCGACGGCGTCGATCGTTGCTCATGATATCGATCACAGGATTGACTGGTTCAGACTTGCTTATTTACATGCTGCTGTTGTATAGCTGGAATTTTGCTTAGTGCGGCGTTAAACAACACACAAACCTATTATGTCAACTTCCATTGTCAGGTCTTTGTAAAATCACTACGTGGCAACACAAATTACACACTCATTCAAGACCCGTGAAGATCCGGGGTAGAATAGGTCTTCAGCAACCCATGCTTGTCGTAAAAGGTGACTATGCTTGTCGTAAGAGGCGACTAACGGGATCGGGTGGTCAGGCTCGCTGACTTTGTTGATGCATGTCATCAATCCCAATTGCGTGGATCGATGCTCATAATATTAATCACTGGGTTGTCTGGTCAAGACTCGACTATTTACAGACCACCGTCATATAGCTGGAATATTGCTGAGTACGGCCTTAAACAACACACCAACCAACCAACGCTCACTCAAATCAAACCTTTTTACTGAGAGTGAAGATCTAACACTCAAAGAAAGTCTCCACGCGTGATCAGTGAGCAATCTTTGACCTCCAACTCGACATGAAGTACGCCCAGGTTCTTGAGCCAAACCGAAGTCAGCTTTCGAACAGGGTTCTGCTTCATTTCATTACAATTTCGGTTCAAAATTTCGAGTTCCACAAAGGCAATCCACCCAGAGCACACATACATATACCCTCGATAATAAACCCTTTTCAGTATAGCTGCCAGCGCTCAGAATCGGCAGGGTGTATAATAAAATTATCAACAACATATTGGCGCGACGTTCATGCGTGCATTCAGAACTGCCGGTTTATGTATGTTTTCCATATACAGAATAAGATAAGTTGCCTCGAATGCTACGTTCGTTCTTACCGACGATGTCTTAAGGCTGATGGGCTGGGTGCCGTACAAAGCGGTTTTCGCGCTAAGGTGATCGTAACTCCCATACCGTAACACAGACTTACGACAGTTGTGGTGCTAAGGTTATTTGGTACAACGGCACCCTGATCAGTATGGCAGTTCACTTGTGATCATTTACGAAGAGCTTGTTACAGCTTCAGGAAGAGAGGTGCAGGTGTCATAGGTAAAAATTCTGATTGAGTGACCACAAAGGTAGCTATCATCTACATATATGGGCCATACCAGAATTGACCCTGGTTGACCCCCTGTTTAGAATAGGTTCAGTTACTTGACTGAGTGACAACGTATCCTGACGGTGTTGACGTTGCTCTTTCTTTCAGTCACTGGTTTATCTGGCTCAACCAAAACAAACCTGTGTATTTGCATAATCGGGAAGTTTGTTTGTTGTTTAACGCCGCACTCAATAATATTCCAGCTATATGACGGCGGTCTGTAAATAATCGAGTCTGGACCAGACAATCCAGTGACTGACATCATGAGCATCGATCTACGCATTGGGATACAATGACATGAATTTACCAAGTCAGCGTGCCTGACCACCCGATCCCGTTAGTCGCCCCTTACGACAAGCATATTCGCCTCTAACGGCGAACATGGGTTGCTGAAGACCTATTCTAACCGGGACCTTCACGGTTCGCATAATCGGACAGGTATGACCAGGCTCGCGTTATCAGTTATGACAATGTCAAAATATTTACTGACTGACTCACTCAGTTCATTCATTGATCGGCTGTGGGCGATATACATAATAGATACGACTGTATACATCTTTAGTATTGGGCCCAGACCGCAAAGGCCACTTGTGACAGTTTAATATACGGCCGCATCTAGCTTGGGCAGGTGGGGAATAAATAGTTTTATGTATATGTCAGCTACAGTAACAAAACGCTATCTACCTGCCTGGATATGTGTTTGAATGGATGAAGGGTGTGGTATGACTGATGTATAGAATGACTTATATTTATGTGATTTAACAAACTAGTTGGATGACTTAGCATGACTGTCAGGGGGACCAGATGTGTACTGTTTAAAGTTTAACAGCTATGACATACATGAACACACCTGCTATTCAGGTAACGAAATTGGATATTCCAATACGTCTTTACAATACTATTTTAGTAACAGTTGTTTCCAGTTTGGATACTCCAGTACTCCAGTGAAGACTCAACTGTTAACTTTGGCATCTTTTTATAATTACAGTAAACTACGTTTATAACGAACACGCTTATAACGAACTGATGGATATAACGAAGTTATTTTTAGTCACGACCATTTGTTGTATATATGCTGTATGTATGCTTATAACGAACTACGGTTATTACGAACTAAAATTAGTGGTCCCCTCGAGTTCGTTATAACCGTAGTTTACTGTACTTATTTATGGATTCACTGTACCAAATGGAAGGGTGCGGTGGTCGAACAAGAGGAAACCTTTACTTTATAAATCTGAGAACATTTTTTTGAAATGCCTACTTAGTTTGTTTTATGGTTTAAATTAATGAACACACTATGCGAGAAGAAGTCTCAAAACGTTTGCTTTGTTAAATTATAAACAGTTCGATCAGCGGATCCGTAAATCAAGAAATAGAAAACACACACAATTCTATAATGGTACAGCGTTGCGTTTCATCTTTCCACGTGTCTCCTACCCCCATAACAACCCCCATGTTCAAAAGTGAGGTGAGGTGAGGTAAAATGGGGTTTAACGTCGCGTCCAAGATCATTGCACTTATATAGCGACGTGCATGCATGCACGTTTGTGTGTGTGTGTGTGTGTGTGTGTGTGTGTGTGCTTGTACTAGTCGATTTGCCGATTTTATAGTGATAGCCCACTGAGATACGATGCCGCAATTTACCATGAATTCCCCACTCAGACACAGTATACTGACTCCGAGCCGACCAGTCCTTTTAGCCCCTAATGCCGAGCGCCAGACAAGTACCTTCTTTTAACGTCTTTTGGTATGACGCGACCGGGGATTGAAGGCAAATGAAGGCTGTCGCAGGCAAATGATTGACAGAAGTATATGTGGGCAACGATCCACTCAATTTAGGCTAGGACGTGCAATCAGACAGGTTGCACACAGTAACCACCCGATCCTCGTTCGTCAATTGTATTGGAATAGCGCCCCGTGGGTATTTATGTTAATACCCGCCATCATATAGATGGAATAATGCCGCGTACGGCATTAAACAACAAACTCAACAAAAGCTAACCAATTTTGACCCGGAATACCCAACAACAAATTTTAAGAAAAGCACTTGATACTTGGGATTTATTCATATCCGTGTTTAAGGCTTCAAGACTCGTACCCTCGCGTAATGTAAATTAGCTTTCTATCTGCCCGGCAATACAGTGGTGCATTGGTTAGAAGGGTTTTATATTCCAGCAGTACCACGAGAGAGGACATAAAGACTTGGTCTTCAGTGTGATGAGCGAACACCTGAACCGCTTAGCCATCACACCGCACCTTATGGTGATGGAGTCCATTGACCATTCGTAAGAG